TATTTTTGGAATTCTAGGGGCCGGCGGGTGCCTAGTTCTTCCCGACAATGAGTTGAAAAGGGAACCCGCAAACTGGGTTGATTTAATTGTAGAACATCAGATAACGTTGTGGAATTCTGTTCCAGCGCTTCTCCAAATGTTCACCGACTTTCTTTCAATGAACCACAGTTATAATTTGTCCTGTCTGCGTTGGGTTTGGTTGAGTGGGGACAGAATTCCGTTGACATTGCCTGACTCGTTTAAAAAATTTGCAAATTCCTCCCAATTTCTATCCCTCGGCGGTGCAACAGAAGCGGCAATTTGGTCAATTTGTTACCCGATCACAGCAATCCAGCCTGAGTGGAAAACCATTCCTTATGGGAAACCTTTACTCAATCAAAGGTTTTACGTTCTCGACAGTCAACTGGAAATTTGTCCAGTTTGGGTGAGAGGAGAATTATTTATCGGGGGTGATGGATTGGCTCAATGCTATTGGGGAGACGAAGAAAAGACAAATGCCAGGTTCTTTCTCCATCCTGAAACAGAGGAGAGATTGTATCGCACTGGAGATTTTGGTAGATATTTGCCATGTGGTAACATCGAATTCTTAGGTAGGCAGGACGACCAAGTGAAAATTAATGGTTACAGGATTGAATTAGATGATATAAAATCAACTCTGTTAAGTCACTATCTGGTCAACGATTCCTTCGTCACATTTCCCACAAATGATAACCCGCAGATTTTATCGTTCGTTACTTCCAACAATACTGGGGATGATAGCTCAACTTTAGATATAGATTTTGTGTACAATTTTAAAAGGTCTGAGCCTGGATTACGCACAGATATAACTGGCAGGGAGACTGTTGTTTTAGTGCCACGAACACAAATTATTGAAACCTACATGAATAGAAAATCATACCGTTGCTTCGCGTCCGGTTCAATTACAGACTCGGATCTTAAATGTATGATTGAACACGTAAAGCAACCCAGACGTAAAGTGGGTTCGAATTTGATCGACTTAAATGCGCTGGGGAATATTTTAGTCTGTTTATCAAAGTTAAGAGGAAGTCCAAAGTCCGATCTACCCAAGTACATGTACGCATCTGCGGGAAATATTTATCCTATTCAAGTGTATCTCGAAATTTCCGAAGGTATGGTCAGTGGGTTATCGTCAGGCTACCATTATTACGATCCTCTCGATCATAAACTAGTCCTCGTAAAGCCACTGAACTTTAGTTTAGCCAGAATGAACGTTATCTAAGTAGCAAGGTATTCTGCCTTAACTGCGGTTTACGGCGAACTATCAACCTCACTTATGTGGTTGAACGCGGGTTATTTGCTAGGAGCTTTGTTTCAATCATGTCAAGGTGTGGGGGTGGAGATCGGAGATATATCCATGTCCGTTGATAAAGATTTTCTACACCGCCAGCTTGGTCTTCTTGCACATGACGAAGTAATGCTCTCACTATCGCTTGGGAATCGAGACGTAAAAATATTAACAGAAACTCTTCCCCAAATTATAACATATATTTGCTTAAAGAATAGCGGTTCCAAAATGGTGGACAAATGGATTCGGTATGATAATAATTTCCTAGCGGAACGTGAAGCTGCTTGTAGCGTTAAGACATCCTTCTCAGGAGAATCAGCTTTGATATTTGGTTCAGCATCGGTAGGAATATTCTTTATGGCGAGTCAAGTCCAAAACAATGAAAAGTTAGAGAGGATCAGTATTGGATTTAGCGGGCATCGAGCAATGGCCGCTGCAGTAAGGCAAGGGTTAGGTTTCTGTCCAATCGGGAGTTTGGATGATGTACATTTCGAAGTTGGACTTACACCAGTTCATGCGCTCTTTGGTGGACGGATAACACAAGCTCAGTCGGTATCAGATGAGCCATCTGAAGTAATATCATTTCGAAGCGAAGATGCCTTCTCCGACTGCATTATGTCCTACGTGTCAAACCATCTACCCATCTACATGGTACCTGCTGGTGTTAAAGTCTTGTCATCTTGGCCACTCACAGATAACGGGAAAGTCGACAAAAAGGCGCTACAACTTCTTTGGCAAAATTCTATCCAGATTGATAGGCAAGACTCATCTAGTGTTGGCAGTGGGGTTGCCGAATTTTTATTAAACATTGTTAAAAACACTCTGCAAATTGATATATGCAGCTTGTCAGACAACTTTTTCAGGTTGGGAGGGAATTCCATCACTGCGGTCAAACTAATGTCGAGAATTAGGTTAAAGTTTGCGATTGACATATCTGTGAAAGATATCCTCAAAAATCCAAATCTTTTAAAATTATTTGAGGTTATACAGGCGAAGTTATTAACATCGTCGGAAATTTGCATGAATGAAATTAAAAATTCTACAAACGATTCTCCAACCCCACTAACTCCATCTCAGCGACAGCTCTTCTTTCTGCACCAATTAAATCCGAGCAACTGCGAGTATAACATACCAGTAATTGTCAAGATGAAGGGAAATCTAAATTTCTATGCGCTGTCATATGCGTTTCATCGGCTCACTCAGCGACAAAACATACTCAGGACAAGCTTCTCCCTTAATGAGCAGTCACAGCCAGAACAAAACGCTGGTAGGGAGATCAAACTAGAAAACATCATCATACATAAGACTGTTGCCAATGAACTAGATTTATTTAATGAAATCCAAACCGAAATTAACAAGCCGTTTGACCTATCAAATCCACCACTTTTCAGGATTACATTACTTGAAGAAATTTATAAGGAAGACGAATTCACTTTGGTTTTCATTCACCATCATATTATCAGTGACGGAACATCGATTGGTATCATTGCGACAGAAATATCGCAAATTTACAACGATTTCGTGACCGAAAACCTCCAACGTGGTTTGCCTGAATTGTCAATACAATATTCGGATTATGCCATTTGGCAAGCCCAACAAATCGTCCCGGAGAAAATCAAATCTTCCCTCGCCTACTGGAGTGAACAACTGAAGGATTGTCAAGTGCTCCAATTCCCTACACAAAAACCAAGACCAAGAATATTCACAAATAAAGGGAAAAAATTTAAATTCACCATTGACCCTGAGTTATGCGCACAACTGAAAGAAATATCTATTGCGCATGACACCACATTGTACTGCGTCCTCCTCGCAATTAGTTCATCCCTTTTTACACGATACGCGGACCAGGATGAGATCTGTATTGGCTCCCCAGTTAGTACTCGGGTCTTCCCAAAATTAGAGAAATTAGTAGGTTTTTTTGTCAACACGGTTGTTCACAGGGTAAAATTCGCCACAGAGACTCTCCCCACATTTGCCGAGCTTCTCAAGCAAGTATCCACCATCGTCTTAAATTCATTGCAACACCAACACTGCCTTATTGAGAATGTAATTGAGTCCATCGGCTTAAACAGAGATCTTAGTGGCACCCCTCTTTTCCAAGTTATGTTGACCCTACAAAATATCGAAAGCAATTTTATCTTGAATATGGATCAGGTTACCACAATCGAGATAAATTTTCCAGTCTCAACGACAAAATGTGATCTGACATTCATCTTCAAGGAAGACAACGTGAAAAAAACAATCCACTGTGAGGTGGAATATTATTGCGATGTATTCGAGGACGAATTCATCTCCGAATTATCAAAGTCATTCGTACATTATGCGTCTGAAATTGTGGAACATGTTGACACGAGTTTAAGCCATCTTTTGCTTTGTAGTGATGCTCAAATAGTTGAAATAATCAGAGGGATTCACAAGGACTTCAATTTTAATCCAATTGATAGTAATCTTTCGATTCCAGATTTGTTTAGAATTCAGGCGAAAAGGTTTCCCACAAATGTAGCATTAGAGGATAACTATAGATCACTCACTTACCAACAGCTGGATACTTTAACAGATAATATTGCCTTTAACGTGATTTCTATGTTTGATAAAACTTCTTCACAGCAAAAATTTGTTCCAATTTTTTCTGCGGATAAATTCAATACTATTTGTGCCATGATGGGAATTTTAAAGGCAGGGAAGATATTTGTCACCATAGATTCTGAACTTCCAGTTCAGCGAGTTGATAACATTATGAAGGATATTAATTCCGACATAATACTATCAGCTCTCACAACGCAAGCAAAAGAAAAAGTTCTTGTTCTAAAAAGCAATATTCAAATCTATCATTTTAACGATTTACTTCTTCCTCCTACAACACGGTGCATCCTTCCCACAGTTGATGGGGATGATCTCTGCTGCGTATTTTACACATCAGGTACAACAGGGTTGCCGAAGGGAATCCTTGTCCCCCATAGAGGAATAACGCGCATATTTGCAGATTTAAACTACAGATTTTCGCACTGTGATGTCTTTTCTCAAACGGCTCAGTTATCTTTTGACGTGTCAAACTTTGAAATCTTTGGAGCACTACTCTCCGGGGCTAAACTTGTGACCATTACGAAAGAGAACGTGCTTGACAGCGCTGTTTTCAAGCAACTAATTGTTTCTCCTGGTGTTACGGTTATGACGCTGGTGACATCCTTGTTTCACACGAAGGTTGAAATTAGTCCGGAAATATTCAAAAAAGTTAGGCTAATCATGGTAGGTGGGGAAGAATTAAATGCTTCTGCAGTGAAAAAGTTATTTAGATGGGGAACCAATGCATACCAAGGAGTTTTGTTAAACGCGTATAGACCAACTGAAAACGGAATCATGACAACCACCCATGCCGTCACGAAGGAAAATTGTGACCTTGAATTTGTCTCTATCGGTAAACCGATTAATGGCACGACCTGCTTCATAGTTGACAAGTGGATGAATCCCGTTCCAAAATTTATCACGGGTGATTTATACGTTGGTGGGGTCGGGCTAGCGAAAGGATATTTAAATAGAAAGAAGGAAAATGATGAAAAATTTGTAAAACTTAATATACATTTAAGTACTTTATTACGCAGAAATTTCAATTTTGAAGTAGACAGCACTTTATATAAGACGGGTGACATTATCTCAATTTTGTGCGATGGAAGTCTGCGATTTCATAAAAGGAAAGATGATCAGGTTGCAAGTTCAGGATCAGTTATATCGCGATCCCGACCACAAGGCTTACTCTACGTTAGACTTTCAAAGAGAGATTGCCAAAAAGCTTGGGAGTAATTTAGAGGGTAGATACCCCATAGTTTTCACAAGCATACTGAACATTGATAGGACAGCTAGGAATACGTTGTTTAATGAGAACTTTGTAGAGACATCGTTCTGCATCACGCAAACCCCTCAGGTGTATATAGACTGCAAAGTTTATGAAGATGAGGGTAATCTGGTGGTTGAGTGGGATTACTTGGATGGAATTTTACCCGATGGGTTGTTAGCTATGATGCACGGCTTGTACGTCGAATGTATTAGTTTAATGACGGAGCAAAACTTTAACATTTATCATGATCAGTTACTTCCAAAGCCAGTTTTAGAAATTGTGCATGGCTTGAATGACACAGAAAAAAGATGGGAGTTTAAGGGTGGCTTGCATGAGTTAGTAATGCGTAGGGTGCCTCACAGAGAAAATGTTAGAGCTATCGCATCACCGACAAAGATCATAAGTTATGGACGATTGTCCGAATTGGTGTGCATTTTTGGGGATTATCTTTGTAAGTCGGGCATTAAGAGGAATGATTTGGTTGGCGTTATTTTGAACAAGGGATGGGAACAGGTGGTTGCCATATTAGGCATTGTGTCATCAGGAGCGGCATACGTGCCACTAGATACATCCTGGCCGAAGAAACGCATCTTATCCATTCTTCAAAAATGCAACATCAAAAATGTTGTTTTAAGTGATAAGTTTATTGGGGTTGAATCTTTTGGTCAAATTGGAATGGGAATTAATATGATTGACATAGAAACAGTTCTTATAAAGGGAGCTGTCTCGCAAAGCAATTGGAGGAGTGTACCATGTGACCCACGTGATATCGCTTACGTGATTTTCACTTCTGGTTCTACAGGGGTTCCGAAGGGAGTTGGCGTGTCGCATCGTTCTGCTGTTAATACCATTTTGGATATGAATCAAAGATCTGGAATTACGGAAGATGACAGGGTGTTGGGATTATCAGAACTGCATTTTGATTTATCAGTTTACGATATCTTTGGAATTCTTGGGGCCGGCGGGTGCCTAGTTCTTCCTGATAATGAGTTGAAAAAGGAACCAGCAAACTGGGTTGATTTAATTGTAGAACATCAGATAACGTTGTGTAATTCCGTGCCAGCACTGCTTCAAATGCTCACCGACTTTCTGTCAATGAACCATAACTATAATTTGAACTGTCTGCGTTGGGTTTGGTTGAGTGGGGATAGAATTCCGTTGACATTGCCTGACTCGTTTAAAAAATTTGCAAATTCCTGCCAATTTCTATCCCTTGGCGGTGCAACAGAAGCCGCAATTTGGTCAATTTGTTACCCAATCACAGCAATCCAGTCTGAGTGGAAAACCATTCCTGGTTTGCTAGGATAGATTATTCGAAAAGTGCAGTTGATTCCGAAGGGTTTGACGATACTCTGTTGAAGTTTAAAGTTTCTCAGCCAGGCTTACGTTCAGATTATGCGAGTAGGGGTAACAGGATAATTCTGGAGCATTTTGGCTCAAGCCAGGCACACTACTTGAGTAGAAAATCGTATCGTTCCTTTGAACAAGACGAAGTAAGTACAACTGAGGTGTCAAACCTGCTAAATGAGACATTCACTCCTGACTTGGAAGTTTTTCCTGTGAAAGCTTTCACACTTACTACGATCGGACACTTACTATCCAACTTATCTCAATTTAAGCAATGTACTTCTGACCTTCCTAAATATCTTTATGCTTCAGCTGGGCACTTGTACCCGATACAAGTGTACCTGCAAATTGGTAAGAATACAATTGAAAATATTGAAGCAGGATATTATTATTATGACCCCGTCCATCATGAGTTAGTGTTCGCAAGATCGTTTGATATATCAAATTCAACCCTCAAGATAATCCTGGTGGGAAACTACTCAGCGCTAGAGCCTGTGTACGGATCTTTTTCGGAAATTTTGATGTGGCTTAATGCTGGATATCTGCTAGGAGCATTATCCCAGTCCCAATCAGGGAAGCATTGTTTCACTTGGGATGGAATAGATTTCTCCGAGGATACTTCTACTTATAAGGAATGTCTAAATTTACCTCCAAATCATGAAGTGCTAGTTACTTTAGAATGGGGCTTTAGCGGACAAAATCTCCAAAAACTTTTGAAACCAACTAAAATTCAATATTTTGTGAAGACGAACGGGTCGAAATATATAGAATCTTGGCAAACATTTTATAATTCGGAAACAGACCGAATTTCTGACGATGCAATTTTCAGTAAAATAGAACTAAATGAAGCACCCTTAGAAGCGGCATCAATCATTGGAGAGTCCTCTATTGGATTAGTATTTCATGTTTCATCGGGAAATATCCCATGTGATTTAAAATATGCAAGGCTTCGAAGTGGATTTTGGGCCCATAAGATAATGCTTGTAGGGATCAAGCATGGTTATGGTTTTTGCCCGATGGGAAACATGAGTAACATTCAACTTGATGATGGCTCAACTCCACTTCATGCTTTATTCGGGGGACGAGTATCCCAGCGGCAATTGTTGTCCAAAGAACCCTCAAATGTTAAAATCAACACTGACCATACAGCGTTGTCCAATTCTATTCTAACCTTTATATCAACACAACTTCCGAAATATATGTTACCCAGTCGTATAATAATTCTACCAACGTGGCCTTTAACTGATAACGGAAAACTGGATAGCAAATCGCTAGAAGCCATTTATCTCGAGCACGGTGCTCTCAATGATTTGGGCGACCTCAGAGTCACGCCTTTTAATGAATTCGAGAATGTGTTAATGTCCCTGTGGCAAAAAGTATTGGGAACCATGCTGCCCCTGAATACTGACTTTTTCCAGACCGGTGGTAGTTCCTTGGACGCACTGAAATTGGCGCTAATGATAAATGAAACTTTCAATCTTTATATTAATGTCGCCTGGGTCTATCAATACCAAACTATTACCCAACAAGCTAAATGGTTATTGGATAATGCGTCCAGTTCTCAAAACGGGGAATCCCCGCGGAGTGATTTCATAACTTTTAATAGGATGGGATCAAAACGACCGATAATTTTGGTTCACCCTGGCAGAGATTCGGCATTCGCATATTCGACACTTTCCAGTGACCTAGGTCAAGACCAGCCCATAATTGCTCTTGAGTATTACAATCTATTTCAGGATTCTGACCTGGACGAGACAGTTGAAGATATGGCAGCCAGATATGTGAAAACATTGCTTTCACTATGTCACATCGAACCTCCCTATATTCTTGGCGGGTGGTCATTCGGGGGGCTCGTTGCGTTTGAAATGTCACGACAACTCAACGCATTAGGAAAGTCGGTTAAACAAATTTTCATGTTTGACACCTCCTTCCCTACGTGGTTTGACACGATACCTGACTACGTTGTTCCTGACGATATTTGCGAAATTATAAACGAACCGGAGAAACAGTTGTACGAAACTTTGAGCGAGTCCTTACAACAAAAATACAAAAAAGCTGCAATTTTAGAATTGAATGCAATATTGTCATACAGATTGGTACATCCGGGTGACTTTGGTCAGATGAAAATTGTACAATTTCTACCGGAGGCTTCAAAATTAGAGCATTACACTGGATGGAATTCATTCTGTTCATCTCTTGTGATAGAGCCAATTCCTGGAGATCACGGGTCAATTTTACGAAATACCGATCACAGAGCCAGTTTAGTTAAAGGAATTAAGAGACTAACTTCGCCAAAATTAATATTTGTATTTGCAAGTTCTTCGTTCAATAGTGACAAATTGTCACAATTATTACCCGGACATTTTGTCATTGCCTTGGACGAGAAAAATTTTACTGAATTTAAAGATAACTTCGGAACACAGTTTACAAAATGCATCGGTGTCTCACCCGGCGTTTCGATCGGTTACATAAACGGATTTGATTACGAAAAATGCAGACTTGCAATAGAGGCCTCTGTTCTCATGAAGATATTTTCATTGTTTCCTCCGACGAGGGCAATGTCTGCCTTGCGGCCGAATTACGACAGACGTTCTCCCTTCCGACCGGGTCATGGCCGGAGGAAAGTTTAAAATTTAGGGATAAAGTCGTCATGAAGAAAGCCCTTGTCCAGGGAAATGTTAAGGTCCCCGAATTTATGAAATTACCCACAGCTTCGCAAGACCCTTCAGTCTTGTACAATTTAATAGAGAGTCATCTCGGATCCCCATTTATTGTCAAGCCTATCAATTCCGGAGGCAGTTTTGGTGTTTACAAGGTAAACAGTTATGTTGAGTTTGTAGACATTTATGCAAATTTGGACCCCGCCCTTAACCACGAAGCGGAAGAGTTTTTATCAGGGGAGCTGTATCATTGTGACCTTGCGATTTCGAGTAACCAAAAATTTCCCATATTTTCCGACTGTGCCCTTTACTTCCAATCATTTATGGGTTTTGATAGTCGGCACGACTGCATCGGTAGTACGAATCATGTCGATTCCTCTGTCGCACAGAAAATTATAGACTTTTGTGTCAAAGCGGTTCACACCTTGGGAGGAACCCGAGGTTTGTTTCATTGTGAAGTTTTTCGAAATCCGGAGTCTGGTGAGATCACATTTCTGGAGGTAGGGGCACGTGTTCCGGGCGCATTAATCCCGAAAATGTACGCTCAAACGCACCACATTAATTTGTATGAATTAAACATTCTTCTCCAAGTGGGGGAATGCTACCCAAAATTAAGAATTGAGAAGGAGAAAGTTAGAACGTGGGCGTTATACTTTTCTCACAAGTCGGGTAGAGTTTTGAATGTGAATAAATTCGAGGGGGGTGAAATGGTAGAAATTGAACCATTTTATAAAGTAGGAGATTATTATGATACGGAAAAGTCGACGTATAAAGTGATCGGCACGATGGTGTTTTCCACGTCCGATTTGGACATGGTAAGTCAAGTTAATGGTTCCCACTTTTAAACTTATGGAGATCGAGAAGTACGGAACTACGGAAAGTACGAAAAAGTACTGAAAATAGTGAATAAAAAAACCGAAATGAAATGATCAATTATGAGTGCCTATAAATAAAGTAGGTGGGCAGGGTCATAAAAATTATGTAGATATTCGTTAGAAATAAAAATATATTATCTATTAGTATAGGATAAAGATTTGTAAAATTCGTGCCCAAAAAATTTAGTGGGTTAGTGTGAAATATTTTAAGTATGTAATCCAACACTTCCATATGTCCAAGCTATCGATGTAATCCAAAATTGAATTAATAGAGTTATGCATATGAAATTATTTATGTAGGTACATACATATACATATATTTGTTTAACCTTGGAATTTAAGCTCTAAATAATTACACTCAAAAATAGCAAGTAAGTATTTTTATCAAGTCATAAGTTTATTTTGAATTTTGAATTTTCTAAGGTTGAAATGCGACGAAGGCAATACAAGTAAAGCCGTAATTTGTAAGTTACATAAATGCAAGTGTTTAGTATTAGTTAAGTATATATAGTAATAATTTAAACGCGAGGCTATGGTCGAGGCATTATAATTAAGCACATTATTACATAAAGCATTGAAAAATGTTCTTAATTTTAATTCCTCAATCACATAATTCTGCAAAAAATTCAAATGACTTTTACATACCCTGGAAATAAGAGGTACTTAGCCAGAGTAAACATTTGTTTGAATTTTAACTTTAATTTATGTGATACTTATTTTTAAAATTTAAATATTTCCATTGTTAATTAATGTATCAAATCTGTATCGCATTTACAATTCCTGAATAAAAATATGCATTCCAAATTGGTTATTCATATAAACATTCCTTACTCAGTAAAATACTCAATAAATCTTCTGAATTAAATTTCATAAATAGTTATATTTCCATAGATTACACGGCGACTTCATCATTCTCCTCCTGAGGCTCGGCTGGTCTCGCACCACTAGACATTTGCGGATTCTGTTCCCTGTCGGAGGATCCAGATTTCGCAACACATCCGCATATCCCCAGAAGCGCGGATATCCCCAATCCAATCGCGAAATTTCCGTAGTTGATCGTCCTCTTTGTGCCGTAACAGCCGTCTATGCGGCACTCGTGTCCATACTGACAGCAATACTGACCACAACATCTGGTATAACTTGGACAGCAGGTGTCCTCATTAAGGCAACAAGTGTAGTCGGTACTACTCCCGCAGCAATATTGAGAACCATACGATTTCTTACAAAGCGTCTCATATTTTCCGCAGAGGGACTAGAGAGAGAGAGAGAGAGTTTTCATTTAGCAGTTTAGGGGCGTTCATAAATTATGTGGCACGAGAGGGGGATGGGTGGTTTAAGGCTCCCATGATGCCGTACCTATTTGACACATTTTAAAGGGGGGGGAATGGGGGTATGGAAATTCGCCATGGAGATTTTTGCCTTACATAATTTATGAACGTCTCCTTCGGTTTAAAATAAGTGCCAACAAAACTTGAGCATAATTTTCTTTAATCACCGATGGTACATGATAAGCAGAAAGAAGTTGCATACATTTTACAATAAAATTTTACCAAAGTGTTAATATCTTTGCACATTTTGTATTACCGATTCAGTCAGCCATTTCAAGATGTCCCTGTGCTCTGCGCTGCTTAAATTGAACTCTTGGATGGATGTCACCATTCCAAAAGTGCATATTAAGAGGAGTAAGATCAAACATTTGTTGGGAAGAAGGGATCCCATAAAGTTTAAGCGTCGCCATGTATCTCGGTCTAAAAAATGAAGAAATCTGTACATACAAATGAGATAATATGTACTGAGTTGGTCAAGGTCAGACTCACGAATGCCTAATTGAGGTTGTTAAATAATATATTTATCATTTGTACATGACATTTTTACAAAAGCGAAAACATGTGAAAGCTAACAAACGATAATTTTTAAACACTAAATTAATTACTACGAAACTTAAAAGTACAGAATACTAATTATTACTCACCCATTACTTGAAATTAAATTGTTGCACTTGATTAGACGTTTGAATGTCGCCAATTTGATGATTGTGTAGGTAGTTTTACACGAAATATTTAGATATGTAAGTGCTAACCATTTACATACAAGTTGCCAAACTGAAAACTTAGCTCAGAATATGTGCATATGTTGCATGAGCTGGGATCACGTTCCATCATGGTTTGGCCTGTTTTATTTTGCACATGCAAAATCCATGGTTTCGCTTAAACCTGGCCAATAGGTGGGTGAGGTATGTGGACAAAGAAAATGATATTAGCTACAGCACCCAATGTGCAAAAAGTGTAGAAATTGTATATGAGATTGGCCTCTTGCTCATCTTAAGTAACTTTAATTTGTTTTTGTACGTATTAATAGAAACGGAGAGGTGTTGGGTGCATACATATGTACGCCGAACAGAATATGTATGTATGTATCCTTCTGACAGGGAAATGCATGCTTTGGTCATATCGGCATTCTCAGAACCGGATGGGTCGTAAATTGGTATCTGTTTAGAGTAACGCCTCCACAGGGACACATGGATGGATGTATCTTGTGCGAGAATTTGTTCATATTTTTTTACATTCGACTTTGGCATGGTTAAGGATGAGTGGAACGGTAAATGAGAGACGACCTTCTTTCAAAAAGGAGATTATTTTGCTGATAGTTAACCACACTCTTAGAAATCCAATATTTACTAAAAATATTATATTTATGAAGTATGTATTTATTAAATCATTACTGCATTTAAGCGCATCAAGAGGCGTACATTATAGATAATCTGGTAAAAATGTTATCCTCCTGTTTTGCACGTGATGAATCCCAGATTGTCCTCGTTAGATTGGTGGCAATTTGTATCACGTATCACAGATCTGCATGCATAAATTTTGAACCAATTATGAATAAATACAGCAAAAATAATATACGTAAAATAAATAAATATATTTTCAGAGTCCAGTTAAAATATAAGCTAAAGTTTCCAATCACAAATACGAAAAACCTCTACTATCTAATAGGTGCACTCACGACAACTTCAGGCTACTATTTCGCAACTAATTTAAAATGTATGAATTTTGGGAATAACCTGTGGGAAATCCTCATAAACATTAGGGAACAAATGTCGATCGAAATTTCGAAAAATTTCAAATTTCGATTTTATCGGTTGTTATGAGTACCCCTAATAACTATTTACACTATAGTCTCACCTGGCAATATTTTCCCTGGTTGGCGGGAGACATTTGCGGGTCACAGGTTCGTAGATATCTTCCAGCTCGGGGCAACTGCAAACCTGAACAAGTTCTGTGCTTTGCTTCCCATTTTCACATTTTGGAACAATCCGACATTTCAAATCGGCCACTTTGTCACATCGTTCCGTACGATTCTCATAGTCACAAGGAAACCCGTGTTCAATGTCGCAGTGGTGCTCAGAATTTTCAAGGAAGCCTGGCTTGCATTCACAAATCCCAGTCGTGCCGTTTGCCGAAGCCTGCAAAACAAGAAAAGGTGACCCTTAATTCGTTCCCGCCGTTTGATCTGCTACAAAGCAGAGGCCGCGGAATCGTGAAAATTGACTGAGCAACGATGTTCTCACGGGTTCCCAATGTTTCTTAAAACATGGGCCCATATTATATGTATAAACCACCCTGTCCTTTATCCTAAAATGTTAATGTCCCCAGATGTCCCACGGCTTCCGCGGCCACTGCAACTACACTATCTTATTTACCTGGATGACACAGTGAGAATTCTTAACACAGGGGTCCACCCCGTCTGATGTGTTACACCGCCTTCCTACAACATGCCGATTTCGACAAATTCCTGGACATCCCTCCGAAGAATTCGAGTTTTCATGAAACTGGTAATTCGTTCCGGGACAGCGACATTTCATTAAATGGTAGTGCTCGATACTACAAAAATAAATCATTATGGAGAATTGTACATACATAATTTTTGTCCAATTTTGTACAACTGGTTGAACCTGGAGCAAATTAAATAGTCTTGGCAGGGTTCTTCCAATGTGCACCATTCGTCATAGTTCCTCCCACAATGTCCACCCCTCACTGGGGGCATATTTCTTGGACATGCACACCTGTGATTATCCCCACAAATAGCACCTTCTCGGCAGTAGGACAATAGCCGATGGGTTATTCTCGTATCGTAGGCGCTTTTCGAAAGGCAGTAACTCCCAACCTTTTAGAATCAAATAATTTACAACACGTAACAGTCATATTCAAATACGTAGTTGTAATTTTATATTTAAACCCGCCAAAACATTAAACTCTGCTCACTTTCCCGACGCAATCTCCCTTGTGAACCCAGTGACCACCGAATGAATGTGGACCGTAATCTGTGGTAGTAATCAGGGCAACTTCCTCGTTACAGGAGCATATTCCTTCTCGACAAATCATCAGTTGGCGACATTCTCGATCTCGGAAACACGATTCGCCTTGATCTTTTCGCCAGATGCACCTACCACTCGTTTCGTTCAGGTATTGGTCCTCAGAGCAGAAACATTCTTCACGTGAACCGCATTCGGTACAGATGTTGGTTTCCGGATGACAACCGGATCCTCTGGCACAAATCGAAGTACTGAAGGCGGAGCGGATATCAGAAGCCGTACTTCGGCCGAATATTTCCATTCCAACTTTGTGACGACTGTTTGTGGAATCGATCTGTACGAAAGGTGAGGTAAACTGGTGAATTATGGCACATTTAAAAATAATTCTACTCCTGTAAAAAGTAGGTAAATGCACTTAAGTAAACTGTACTAAATCCCTTAGCGTTACATTAACTTGATAAAGAGTAAAGTTTACTCCAGAATAGGGATCCCAATCCCGGACGATTATTTTAAATCCCGGGAATCGGGAATCCCGGTTTTAGCCGTGACAAAACCGGGATTTTGTCCCGAAATTCAGATATTACCGTATAACTCTAAATTAGTCAATTTTGGTGTGAAAAAAGGTATATGGCTCTAAAAAGTACCGGCCGTGAGTATATTTATAATACTTATTATTTACATACCTGCTAATGTGTTTTAGAGATTTGTGCATGCATAAGTATTATAAAGTATGCTATTTTTTGGCCTACACAAAATATGTACATAGGATAGCAATACAAATTAGCGATTATATTGTTTTGCCTGCTATGGTAAATGTACAATTTAGATGTATTGTGGTAGCTCAATTTTCGTCCTCTATCTTTAAGAGGAGAAAGAGTTTGATAAGTAATTTCATTCCAGAAAACATAAATAATTAATAAAGGATTCGCCAGCATGTTAACCAGAAATGCACAAACTTACGTTTATCAGTATTATTTGGCCTAAATTGCGCACCATTATTCACAAACTACAATTGGACATGGAATTTCAAAAATTTCAAGCTCAAATATACGAACTACGAACTACCTTCAAAAAGCCTTTCATTCAAGCTTAAATCATCGACTAAAATTCGAAATCACTTCTAACGTGTTAGTATTTTTGGGCATAACTGATTTCAGATTCCATAATTATACCGAAAATAAGGTGTTCTTGTTACCTCAAGTAAAAAGTTAAAATCTGACATGTAAGTTAGAAAATTTTAAGTTGCATTGCATCTTGTATTAAAAATTTTACTTGTGAATTAAATACAAAATTTAGATCAATGTGCGAAAAATATGGCTACCAATATTGTTTAAAATGTAAATTTTCGAGTTCAGGATCAATTTTGACTGGTTATGCTCATCGAAAATTTTTTTACCAATCATATAACCGAAAACTATATAAAACTACTATTAAAATTGTAAATTATAACCAATTTCTCTTCTGAATGACAAATTGAAAAATCCCGAAATCCTGGGATTTCAGTTCTTCAAATCCCGGGATTTCCCGGGAATAAAATCCCGGGACTGGAACCCCTACTCCAGAATTGATGCAGTTTACTTAATAGAATTGAGAGTGCATTTACTTTTCAAAAGAGTAATGTTACTTTTAAGGGTGTAGACTTTAAGCACAATTTTCCAAACCTTCTCATCAAATACTGGTATCTCGTGCAAAATACTTTCGATAAGATCTATGCACTTGTGGCCAAGTTTGATTCTACATTCGCCAATTTTGTTGTCAAATTCCATGTCGTCTGGGGCGAAGCAGTTGCACGTTCCCGCCACACAGGCCAAGCCCATAGTCCGGTCGCACTCCACTTGAGACGAACATGTATTTTGAATACCTTTAGCGGGGACGCAGGTTCTAGTTTCCGGATGTTCGTAATGAGTACGGGGACATTCACAATGTGACCGGCCGTGCTGAACACAGATAGCGCCTTCAACGCAGGATGGATGCGTGGTTTCGGATCTGTGGTGAAAATATAGCTGCATACTTTGATAAATATTGCTTGGTATTATTTTAATACCGGATTTCTAAGAGTGCATTTCTTCAATTATTTACCTGCATCCTTCAGTTCTGACGAGTCTCACGCAACGGTCATAATTAGAGTCAAACTGCATGTCGTCAGGTAGGAAGCAGGAGCACGTTTTAGTCTCGTGGGAACACACAAGATGAGGAGAAGCTTTGCAAGGTGTCGTCTCATTGCAGGGTTGTCCATATGACGATCTGACTTCAGAAGTGTTGGCCATTCTTAAAGGGACGATTGCTAGTAAGAATATTGTAACGACAGAAAACATTTTGTTTCTTCGTTCGTAGCGTATAGATTGGAATTTTGCTATTGTTTTATGAATTATGAACGACGTGCCTAGCAACACGACGTAAGCACTTGTCCGCTGCTGATGAAAGCATAAACTGTGCAAGAAGTGAGTGGTTGAAATAAGCGGACGTGACGTGACGGTGACCTGCCTGAAAGCTTCATTGGTGGTAATCGCTTTAATGGTAAAGGTTAATATGTGTAGCAATAAATCAATTGAGCTACTTAATTATTGCCTTAACTACTTAACTGGATAGATAGTTAATTTATTAAATTGTGATTTGCATTTAGTAAGTTTCGGGGTGTATAACAATTATAAACCATCAAGCTACGTACACACATATGCGCAAGGAGAATTTAATATACGTATTTGCATAATAAACTATGATAGCCCGATTTTTCCTACATGCATAATTAAACTGCTGAAAAATAAAACTATTTAAATGTCGAGCACCAATTGTGGAGATTTTTTGGCTGCGTCGGTAGAATACCATCCACGGCGGTGACTTTTTGACATGGATCTGTGTCTATCCGAGTTATAACACTTCTTGCATGAAATGGCCGTATGCCGCTTTTGTACACACAATTTTAACTGCAATAGATAATTTTGTCCCTGAAATTTAGCAATAATATTCGTAATACTCATTATAATCTTTCTGCCCTTCCTTTTCATCCTAAACCAAGCTACCGGCACTCCATATCTCACAACCCTCCAAAACCTTTCATACACAAAAACTCCCCCAGCCACTGCCAAAAATCCTGCACAAAGTTGAAACAAAGTTTGCACACTCGTCTGTAAATATAGCCGTTTAACCAACTCCCAGTACGTCCCCGATACAAAAACCTTTCTCTTTATACCCTTCGACACGACTAGTTTCTCCTTTCGCCCCTCTCTCTCCTGCCAAGCCGCGTACCACTGATGGATCCCAGATTCTATGAAAAGCCTAAAATACTTCAAAATCTTGGAATCCTTCGAACATGAAAACGACCACCATCGCATCTCCGCAAAAATAGGGGCACTTCCGGTATAGAAAGTTCTAAAAGGGTACTGTTGTTCCAGGTATGTCTTGTAATCCGCGATATGACTTCCCGTTCCGACATAGACCGACTTCCCACACGCAACAAGCTCCTCCTCCACCGCGGAATTAATAATCTGTCGCGTAATCTTGACCTTTTTGTCCCATCCGTGTAAACTTTTCGGATAGTAGCGTTGCTTTATCGATATAAATGATGACATTAATTTGTAGTATGCCTCCCCAAGGGCATTCTTGTGGGCAACGATGGTCAACTGGGTTAACTTTCTCGTCCACCAGTAGGTCATTAAACCACGCGCGTTGGGATCTCCACTTGGCGAGGAGAGAACTGCGAAACAATTGGTTTGCTCCAAAATACTTCTGTTTCTCCTTTGCAAAAGTGCGAATTTCGTCGCGAATTTTGCGAGACGAAAGAGCAGCTCATAATACCCGGTATGATTTAGTAATTTCTTATCGAAATCGTGTCCCGAGCAGGCAAATGTTTTAAACTCGGAAATGTGTGTCGTTGGTAGAGGAGAGTTTAAACTGTTGAGAATTTGTGCGACGTAAACGGTGCTTAAGATCATACTTACTAAAATCCAGGGTCCAATTCCAAGACGAAAAATGGCCGATTTTTCTAATTTCCGGTCTAATGAAGACGTTTCTTCGAGAAAGGAACCAATGAAAAATAGGAAATTACTGTTACCCCGGATTTTTAGCCATCTTACCGAATAAGTGTCCAATAGAAGGGTAAAAGTGGTGATGGAAATGATCAACAAGATCCAAACTGAGGTCGGAAATGGATCCGCGTAAAGGTTAAATGTCAATTTAGGGACAGAGTAGCAAGTCAAAAAGTTAATGTCTTTACTTCCAAGGAGAATGTAATCGTTGTGGCCATTGCCGGGAGGGTCTTCTGCGGAGTCCGCGTTTGGGTAAAATGCGGGATATCTGATTCTGAGGGATCCTTGTTTTTCTAGTTTTTGGTAAAACGTTTCGTTTAAAACGGGAACGTTTCTAGGCGCGGAGGATGCGTTGATCAAGGCAAGCGCAGTGTTTAGCATGTACATGTTTACGAGGGTGAGGTGCAAGTCGATTTGTGTTATGTGAAATTCAACCCCCCAAAAGGAATCGGTTCGTCTAGTAACGGGGAAACTGGGGGAGTTCCTAAATATTTGGCGGCGGCATTCGAAATTGTTCAGATTTGGCGGTTTTGCAACCCTTTCGATACGGACGCAGATCGTGACATAATTCTGGGTCGGATATTTTGGCAAGTATAAAATCGTCAAAGTTAAACCCGCTATTAAATCCCATGCACCTTGAGATAAACTTGTCAGGTAAATGATTCCCTCGAAGTTTTTTGGAATTTTAGAGTTATCTGCGAAAACTATAACGCCAAAGTTTCGATGTAACGTTAACCCGGATTCTTTTTTGTGACGGGATTGTCGTAAGTAGTAAGTAACGTGGAAATTGTACCAGTATTCGGGTAGTTCTTCGAAGTAGTTTTTCGCTTTTGGTGAGACTTTGATCAAGATACATTCGCAGATCCAGCCCTTAGTCCGAAATAGGTCGAGAAATGGCTGATGCCAGGTTTTTTCATATTTGGACACCTTCTGTTTTGTTAAAGTGACCGGGATTTGATTCGTGGTGGGTAGATTTTCAGAGTGGAGAAAGTCGAATTTTAAGTGAAGACGGCATTGGAGGGACATCTCGGAATTTAGGAAGGAGTGAAAGTATGGTTCTGAAATTGTACCGATGTCACCGGAAATGTGGATTTCATGAAGGCAAGTTCTTGACTGGGGGAGAGTTATAGACAGGACGACAAGGATGATTTGCAAATATGTTGGGCTGACCATCTTGTAAGCCAATCTGATCGACTTAATGTGACCAACACCTGAGTAAATTTGTAAATTGAAATTGAAATTATTGAATATAAAATGTGTACATTTCAGAACCTTGTGAATTCTACGAAAATACTAATTTACATAAATACTAACAGATTTTTCTATAGGCAACTATGAACACACACGTTGTGACGATATTACGTGAATAGATTAATGTTTATTTTGCATGTTTTCAACACATACATATGTACAAGCATGGTGTAGTATTTCCTCGTTTGACCAACAGTGCATATTTAATGTCTAGTATTTAGCACGATTGAATTAACATACATAAATATTTCAAGGTTTTCAGACCGTTTTAATAATTCAGTTGACAAAGTCACGATATAGTGTGCACTACAGTAAAATATACATATGTACAAATAAGTATCATGCATTAGCAAAATGTTTACCTAGAGATAATCAATGTTATCGTTACTTGGAAATAATATGCATAAAAATTAATCTTTTGCGCAGTCCAAACGGACGGAAAAGTACCGCTAATTCTGCATCTCTTTTGGATTTGATATAAAATACTTTAGGTCATATAACGTTACGTATGTATAAGTTATTATATAGATAAGTATGTATGTACACTCTAAGGAATCTTGTATACTCTCGCAGATATTTATTAACTCCTCGGATTAACGTTTCTACCGCTTGGTATTCAAGTTTTACCGGTCCGTAAAAATTTGCTACTGATATGGTAAAACCTTAATACCAATATCAGTACGGAACTACATATTACCCCAGGGTATTATTTATGTATTAACACCCTTTGGCAGAGCCATACATGAATACCACTTGGCATTATTTTAATACTTGATTTCTAAGAGTGTACTTTGTGGGGTGACCAGACTACGGATTAATAGAGGAAGCCAGGCCAGCGTGGTACAGTGCACTGTACCACACTGTATCTTGCTGCCACTGCAGTGGCAGCAAGATAACCTTACCCCGCCGAATCTCAAGGCCATGCGCGCACAACGACAGGCTCGATCCCGCACAAATCGCCTAAAAAACAGGGTCTCGTTTTCACTCTAGTGACCTTAATATTTGACCTTTTGAGGTCAAACTTGCCAATCATATTCCCCATGGTGGTTTTCAAGGATTTTGACCTAGGTCACTTCAGTGACCTTCCAGAAATAACTAAACTTGTTGCATGATATTTGGTTTTTACACTCTAGTGACCGTAATACTTGACCTTTTGAGGTCAAACTTGGCACACATATTGCGAGTCACATTCCCCATGGTGGTTCTCAAGCATTTTGACCTAGGTCCCTTGAGTGACCTTCCAGAAATTACCAAACCTTTTGCATAATATTTGGTTTTTACAATCTAGTAACCGTACTTCTTGACCTTATGAGCTCAAACTTGGGACACGGACTCGCAACTATACTCCCCAGGGTGGTTTTCAAGCATTTGTAGCTAGGTCACTACAGTGACCCCACAGAGGTCATTCAAGTTTTATGACCTTGGACCGTTTTTGCACTCTAGTGAACGTACTTTTCGACCTTTTGATCTCAAACTCGGCACACACACTAGTTATCATATTCCCCAGGGTGGTTTGCAAGAACTTTGACCTAGGTCATTTCAGTGACTCCGCAGAGGTCGTAAAAAGTGAATGACCTCTGTGGGGTCACTGAAGTGACCTAGCTGAAAATCCTTGAAAACCACCCTGGGGAATATGGCTGCGAGTCCGTGTGCCAAAATGACCTCAAGAGGTCAGAAAGTACGGTTACTAGATTGTAAAAACCAAATATTATGCAAAAAGTTTGGTAAATTCTGGAGGGTCACGCGAGTGACCTAGGCCGATATCCTTGAAAACCACCCTGGAGAATGATACTTGCAATATGTGTGCCAAGTTTGACCTCAAAAGGTCAAGTATTACGGTCACTAGAGTGTAAAAACCAAATATCATGCAACAAGTTTGGTTATTTCTGGAAGGTCACTGAAGTGACCTAGCTCAAAATCCTTGAAAACCACCCTGGGGAATATGATTGGCAATGTGTGTGCCAAGTTTGACCTCAAAAGGTCAAATATTAAGGTGACTAGAGTGTAAAAACGAGACCCTGTTCTTTAGGCGATTTGTGCGGGATCGAGCCTGTCGTTGTGCGCGCATGGCCTTGAGATTCGGCGGGGTAAGGTTATCTTGCTGCCACTGTAGCACAAATGTAAGTAGATGAGTAAATGGCTTGCATAAAGTACTTTACCGAGAAATTACTACCTCACGTTCATACCGAGAAATCCCACTTAATTCCTGAGATTTGGTTAACTTTGATGATTACAAGGTTAAAACTTACAATATAAAGAGCTTCTACCCATCCAATCCTTTAAACACTTTAGTTACAACGTTAAGACGAAAACCATCTCTAAAAATTTCCAAATTTTACTCATAAAAGTCGAAAACTATTCGACATGCCGCCATGGCGTTACTTTTCGATACTTATCGCGCTACAATTGACATTTGTCCAATTCAGTCTCACTTACACGATCGACGACTCTCTCCCATTCACCAAAATGGTTGAGAAGATCCCAATTGCGGAATATTTCAAAAATGCGACCGTGTATCATCCCCTTTACGAGAGCATGGCGAAAGGAACCCTTCCCGAAGGAACGTACAAGGCCCTCATTCAACAGGATCACTTGTACATTGACAACTTTCTCGACGCGTTTAGCATTTTGGCCAAACGAGAGGAGGATCCAGAAAGGAAGAAATATCTGCAAGGAGTCGCGGAAGAGGATTATGACGCTTACTGGCAGGGATTTTACGATAAGTTGAATGTTACTAAAGCCGTCCACATGGTCCCGCCTGTTTTGGGTGAGTTGAGACTAAAAACTTAAAATAGTTCGTTTACCAAGAGGTGGGTAGGGTTCCGGGTGAGCCCGGTTAAACCCAATCCGCCGATTGGGCTCAGGTGGGTTGGGTTCAAAAATTTTTCGGGCCGGGTTTTCAAAATGTGTCCCTCGACTCATCTCTATCGTGAGTGAACCCATGACAAATTCGAGGCGCATACTAACTACCTTATTTATGAAATAGTTTGATAATTAATGAAATAAAAAACATGTGCCCAATTTAGAAATTGGGCAACAAGAAATTAATATTTTACAAAATTTTACAAATTTTAGCAAAGTTTAAATATATAGTTACTGCACTTGTACATACATACGTTGAGCTTGAATTTTTGACAAATTCAACAAAATTCCTTTTTACACAAAAAATTTTAATTTGTGCTGCTAAATTTAACAACACTGGGGACCAGTTTGAATTACTCTAAATTGTACAGAATTTATTCAAGTTCAATTTGAAATTTTTCCAAATCTAAAGGTTATCGTCTTTCCGAACTAATTTACATAATTCCCCTTTCAGAATACTGCGTTTTCGAACTTACCGCCGCCAAACGTGCCGACATTGCCGTCGCGCTGGCCACCTTCTATCCCGCCTACATCGTCTGGATCGAAATGGGCCATCACATCGCTCCCATTGCTAACTTGGCCAATAATACCAACCATCCGTATTTCGATTTCGTCTCATCCACCGTGGAGTTTGCCATTTCTACCCCGACCCTTAAATTCCTAACCGTTGTGAACGAATACTACGCCCGATTGGGAAATGATACTAAAACCAAGCAACAAATGTTACACGCTTACACGCGCAGTGTTCAGTATCAGTTCAAATTTGCGGAGGCGATTTTCTCCATGACGGAAGTGGAGTCAGTTCCGGCACCTAAATTCACAGAGCTGGTAGACCCTTGGATTGCCCCGGATGCTCAACAAAGGGTCGTGAACCACGCCTTGTACACGGAAATCGGCGTGGGAAATCTTCCTCTGGATCGGTTCGCCATTCTGACACAGCAAGGACACCTTTTCATGAAGGGATTTTAAATATTTGTGTAGATCAGTTTCATGGAGAGAAAAGAGACGGATAAGGAGCTAAACGGGCTACTTCGAAAGGACCCGAGTTACGTGTATGACTATTTGGAGGGGCAATATAAGAAGTATAACTTCCCCCCGGCATACGTTGCGGAATGCTATATGCAGAGTAAGTTTATGAACAAAGTACAATAAATTATACCGATTGTAATCATAAATGTGTGACTACCAAAAGGGGAATGATTAACACGGTATGGTAGTAGTTCTATAATTAGCTTTGCGACGGCGGGAACGCTGGTAAAACCTGTAAGACTAGTATCCGAAGTTGCAGAAGTGAAGGAAATGCAAATACGCGCCATCTAGAGACTCGTCCCTTGTACTACAGAAAATAGTAGGGATTATCCGCTAGATGGCGCTTATTTCATGCATTTCGTTTCCTCTCTTGCAATAAAATTATGCTTTAAAAAAGCTTTTTTTCATGGTAAACACTTACTGCGTTACTTTACCAGAGTTTAGTATTTTTTAAGGGTGGAAGAATGATGTGAAAAAATCGAATTTCAAGAATTTATTATAAAAAATTACGTCACACCTAAAAATTTTAACTTTTACAGGATACCTGGATCACATAATTACCACTTCGCATCACGCCTCGATCGCTGAAGGGCTCGCATCCATGTATCCATGCTACTTTCTCTGGAACAGGATGGGTACCAGGGTGGCGGACTTGTCGAAAAATGTGACCGATCCACATCCTTACGGAGACTTTGTCAAGTTTAACAATCCAGCCGGGAGCCAGAGCTTGACGAACTTTCAGTATCTGCTTAACACTTATTTTGGTCGACTCGGCGGAGATTTGGAGACCAAATTGAGGATGTTTCAGGTTGTGGGGGACAGTATCATGTTTGAGGAGATGCTGGCAAATGGGGTGTACACAACGGGCCAGCCACAAGGGTTTTAAGTTGAATACCTATGGTTACGTAGTTCATCTGTTGAAGCAATCAAATTTTCCAGTATTCAAATATTTATATTTCTATCTCTCTATGGTTTCCCTGTCAAATTGGTTTTCTGAAAAATAAATATTTATGTACATCGAACATTCCTCAGTTTTGGAAAGTACATGCATATTCAATACTCTTGTCAATTTTTTTTCCCACGCGGTTGGAATCATCATCTTCATGTCACTTATCCACCAGCGAGTATTAGTCAGTGCCGATTACAGGTTTACGAGTTACGTACATACATGCATGCATATATGTAGCTCGAGTAAGTACGTATTACGTCGAAACGCAATAGGTCTACAGAATGCATAGGCATAATTTTTGTATGCGTAAACATTTGTGCAGAATTATTCACAAATTAATCTCAAAATCATTTCGATGTAATAAATACTCGAATCTGTATGTACATACATATGTACATATTGTGTGTACATACTATTGAAAGAAGAATTAAGATACCGGGTTTTGATCAAGCTTGTCTCAAACGCGCTGTTTGAATAAATTGCCTCTGAGGAGGACAACCCTTCACCTGACAGAATCACAGATCTCGATGCCCTTTGGATATGTTGTAGTCCTAGGTGAGTCTAGCAAAAGTGAAGAAGGATTTCATTCCATGGCCCCATTTGCGCCCGCCACACCCACTCAAAGGTGCAAAAATACCCTGTTTTGGTTCATTAAAAAAATCACCAAAAATCCAATTTTGGTCGGATTTTCACAATTTAAGCATTTTTGTGACCTTAGATAGTTGCTTTATCATATCCAATAGCAAACTCAACTTTTTTGAAATTTTGATTTTTTCGAAATCCACGAAATTTTCGAAAATATTCAAAAAATTCAAAAAATTGAAATTCATGTCGGATACGATAAAACAACTATCTGGGATCAAAAAGGTGCAAAAATTATCAAATTATCATTAAAAATGGATTTTTGGTGAATTTTTTAATGCGACCAGTTTGGCATAGGATTCCTCTTTGAGGGGTGGGTGTGGCGGGCGCAAATGGGGCCATTGAATGAAATCCTTTTTCACTTTTGCTCAACTCACCTAGTGCAACAACATATCCAAAGGGCATCGAAATCGGTGATTCTGTCGGTGAAGGGTTGTCCTCCTGAGTAATATGTATGTAATTATGAAAAATAAATGTGTATGGATTCCTGTAGAGTTTTAGAGAGAGACTGGTTTATTTTACAGTAGATTTACCCTTATCTTACCCATGCTAGGTTTTTAGGAAAATATACAAGATTCATTAGTTATCTGACCAGCAGGCAGACAGACGTAGCAATCTTACAAATTGTTTCGCTAATTAATGATTGTATTTAGGAGCAATTTATACACATATGTAGTTACTATTTATTAAATCATCAATTATTTATTTATCTGCATACAAATTTGCAAGTAAATTTTAGATAATCCGAGTATCCTACACTATCCTCTTACTGTGCACGAGCTGAATCCAATATTGTCCTCAATAGATTCGTAGCAATTTAGACCACTTGTCGTAGACCTACACATTTTGAACAATTATGTATGAACAAACTCAGGTCAATATACTAAATCCGGTGAACCAAGTTAAATGAATTGTTTTAAACAACATTAATTTAACTTGATTTAAGTTATTTAAAAGGTACGTGTTTTGGTATTTAATCGGGTCAAATTTATAGTGCCCAACTAATTTTTTTTTCTTCCAACCAAAATAAATAATTTTCACAACACTAAAATTTGCAACCAATCGATTTTTTAATCCAACCAAAATGTAAAATGTTACAACCAAAAAATTTTATATTTAAACAGCAGAATAATTAAATTTAGGCAGTAAAAATGTTCAAATGCATAATCTACCGAAACATTCATAAAAATTTTGAAACAAAAGTTGGTTTTCAAAATCAAAATTTCGTAAAATTTCCAAAACTTCATTCCGCTTATCTATGTTCGATTTCCTAGCTATTGCAAGGTTGTCATGAGTACGCCCTAAAATTAATCACGCGGTAATCTCACCTGGCAATATTTTCCCGGGTTGGCGGGAGACACTTGCGGGTCACAGGTTCATAGATATCTTCTAGCTCGGGACAACTGCAAACCTGAACAAGTTCGGCCGTTCGCTTCCCATTTTCACATTTTGGAACAATCCGACATTTCAACCCGGCCACTTTGTCACATCGTTCCGCACGATTGTCATAGTCCCAAGGAAACCCGTGCTCAATATCGCAGTGGTGCTCAGAATTCTCAACGAAGCCCGGCTTGCATTCACAAATCCCAATCGAACCGTTTGATGAAGGCTGCAATACACAAAAAGCTCCAGGAAAACAATCAAAATTCTAACTTCCTAACTTTGAATAAACTACAAATTATCGATTTCCAGGTTCAATAAAATATTTGATTTAAACAAACCCACGGAGATTAACAGGTTTAAACATCGTCATTTGAATACATGGAAGAAGGGAAAGTTGAGACATTAAAATCCGCATGCACTTCCATTGTATGCGAATTTTGAATTGAAATTGCAATATCTTCCCGCCGCTGGTAGGTTGCCAAACGGCCTGATTTACCTGCACCACACAATGTGAGTTATTAACACAAGGATCCTCCCCGTCCGATACGGTACATCGCCTTCCTACGACATGGCGGTTTATACAAATTCCTGGACAACCCTCGGAAGAATTAGAGTTTTCATGAAACTGGTAATTCGTACCGGGACAGCGACATTTTACTAAATGGTCATCCTCCACACTACAAATAATTATGAAGACTTGTACACATTTCGCATTACTTAAGAACATTTTTTCACTACTCATTTTGAACCTGGAGCAAATTAAATAGTCCTGACACGGCTCCAGTAAACTGCACCAATCGTCATAGTTCCTCCCACAGTATCCACCCCTCATTGGGGGCATACTTCTTGGACAGGCACACTTCTGGTCTTCCCCACAAATGGCGCCATCTCGGCAGAAGGAGGGTAACCGATCGTCTGGACCGTCTAAGACAGTGTATGCGCTTCTCGGGAGGCAGTAGCCCCCAACCTTTTAGAATGAGATACATAATTTATATGACTTGATAGTGCGGCGGATGTGCGTACATATGTATCTACACTTTTAGAAATCTGGTAGTCACGCAGGTATTTGTATCTCGGTATTAAAGTTGTTAGCGCTTGATATTAAAATTAAAGGCCGTCCATAAAATATGTAACGCGAACGGGGGGGGAAGGCTTCGATGATAGCGTGCCTATGTGACACATGTTAAAGGGGGGAGAGTGGTCTAGAAAATCGCTATTTTTGCATTGCATAATTAATGCAGGACTACTTATCCCTGTCGTAAAAATTTACTACCGGTTGGTAAACTCTAATGCCGAACTATGTATGACGATATGGTATTACATATGATCCACTTTGACATAGCCATACATGAATACCGCTTGGTATTATTTTAATACTGGATTTCTAAGGGTGTGTAAACTCGTGTGCTAAAAAGGATAGTGACTATCTCTGTAAATACTTCAATCAAAGCCTTAATTTCATACGCAAAAAGTTTAAACTCTACTCACTTTTGCGACACAATCTCCTTTATTAATCGAGTACTCCCCAAATGAGTGTGGAGTATAATCTATTGGACTGATCAGGGCAATTGCCTCGTTACAAGTGCACGTCCCTTCTCGACAAATCAGCAGCTGGCGGCATTCTCGGTCCCGGAGACATGATTCGTTTCGAGCCCTTCGCCAGATGCATCTTCCACTCGTTTCGTTCAAATACTTGTCTTCTGGGCAGAAACAATCTTGATGAGATGGCGATGAACCGCATTCCGTGCAAATGTTGGCTACCAGATCACAACCGGATCTTTTGGCACAGATCGAAGAACTGAAAACGGACATGATATTGGATTCCGTTCTTCTGCTGAATATATGGAAACTCATTTTGTGACGGCCGGCTTTGGTATTTATCTGTGTGCGAAGTAAAATAAACTCGTGAATTACTATATAAGTATTAACGCATTTATTTTCCTAATTTTCCTAACCTTTTATTAAAAAGCGGTATATTTTCCCAAGTATTTCTCCAATTTTGTGCAAGACCTGAGCACTTGTGGCCAAGTTTGATTTTACATTCGCCAAGTTTATCGTCAAATTCCATGTCATCTGGGGCAAAACAGTTGCACTTTCCCTCCACGCAGGCCAAGCCCCTAGTCCAGTCGCATTCCACGTGAGACGCACATGTATTTTGAACACCTTTAGCGGGGACGCAGGTTCTAGTTTCCGGATTCTCATAATGAGTTCGGGGACATTCACAATGTGAACTGTAATACGAAACACAGATGGCGCCTTGTACGCAGGATGCAGTTTCGGAGCTACATATGGTTAAAATATTGCGGCAAATTTAAATTTTTTGTGATACTATTTCCATAATTATTTATGTCTGTACGTGCATCCTTCTGTCCTGACGAGTCTGACGCAACGGTCGTGATTAGAGTCAAACTGCATGTCCCCAGGGTGGATATAGGAGCAGGTTTTAGACTCTTTGGAACACACAAGATTAGAGTCAGCTTTGCAAGGCATTGTCTGGTTACAAGTTTGTCCATAGGATGACCTGAGCTGAGAAGTGTCGCCCAGTATCGAAGGGACAATTGATAGTACGAAAATTTGTATTGTGATGTCCGAAACCATTGTATTTGCTTATGGAAGCAGTGGAATTTATGAATTCTGAACGCGGAGGATGGCAAAACGTTAGTTATGTATGCACTTGTCGGCTGCAGTAGAAAAGGTGAGATAAGAAATGTTTAAATGGTTAAGATCAGCGGAGGAGGCATGTCTGAAAGACTAACTGGTGTTAATTGTACAAGGTAATATGTATTTATTTAATAGTAATAAATCAATTGAGCAAATTAGATTAATACTTACAGTGGAGGTCTCCCAACGTAGCTTATAGATTTTGACCAAACTAGTGCCATTCTATCACAAATTTAGTTAGCATAAAATTTGTAAAATACTCTAATGCTCATATTTGACAGAGATATTTGCATACTTACAAAGTGGGAAGACAGTTAAAGTTGACCAATTTTACACTTGCTGCGAGTTTTCTCTTCTTTGGATGCAAATATTTGTACCTGCATGTTTGCACTTGCACATACTCTCTTTTATAAATTTCATACATATTAATTAAATTTACGATTGATTGACAGTAGTTTAATCCAAATCGTAGAGCATACGTTGGGAGACCTCCACTGTTTGTTAGAGTTGATTAAATTTGATTTTTTGACTATATTTGATTATATTTAATTTGCATATCCATTCGATCTATAAATTCAGCTTTAATTTTGTAATATTTAGGATCCGCTGCAACTTCGTGAGAGCTATTATTTACTTGCCAATACTTACCAATACAATATCTACATGCCAATAAATTATTCATTCAGCAATTCAATTGACGGTAAAATTTGCATTAGAAAAAAAGTATGCATGCATGCATACAAGGATTTGGTTATGCTTTCATACATATGTATGCACATACATACCTACATACTTTGTGCACTTTATCATCAAATGTATGTCTACACAAATATTTAATATTCGTCTACTAATTATAAAAAATACGTACATATCAAAAGGCACATACGCCGATAGAAATCTGCTACAGTCATCCAGGTTTTGCTTTATCTTTATCAGAGTTGTTACCATTTAGTATTAAAATTATTTATACCAGCCCATAAAGATTTGATGCCGACATGGTAAAACTTTAATACAGAGCTAAATATTACTCCATCGTAATCCTACTTTGGTTGCGTCATATATGAATACCACTTGGTATTAGTTTAATACTGGATTGTTGAATAATATGTATGTATATGAATCCTTCAATCTAATAACTACCACAAGCATAGTTAATAAAGTAATCACTGACAAACGAAACTTCACCCAAGTTTGTCCAGCACTGCTCTCATTCTCATCGAATCATCTCATGCATCCTTCCGCTACTTCATGCATAAGTATTGTACGTGCCTATCAGAGGGCATGAGAAATTGAGTGTCAATTAGTTTATTAAAACATGGATCTCTAAAAGAGCAAATATGTATGTATAGGAGAAAGTGGAGCAAGTGACGGCTTTCCCTAGGTGAATGCACATAGCCTTCGCCCGAGTGAAAGAACAGGTATCGATCCAGCTAAACATGTTCATTTCTGTGTAAATGTAACATAACTACGTTCCAGCATTACACGGCCGTGGGCTCAATTGCTCAAACCAGCCTTTCTCTTCTCTCACTTCTAACTTTCTCTACTATTACAAAATTCCTCACGGAAATATAAACATTGCAAGAACAAAGAAATAAATAAGCTAAAATAATACGTTCAATTAATCGTTATCAGTTTTAACTATTTATAATTAAGATTCCCAAAATCGTGCGATATCCCGGTAAGGATGGAATTGGACCGGTCAAGGAGTCCTTGCTTGTTCGGTATCACGCTGCAACAAGGAGCACAGCTCGTTGCAGGTGTAAATATCGTAAGTTCTGAAAATATGTAGATGTACACACTAAAAATTTTGGCGAGAAATATATTAAGACAAATTGTATTTTTTGATAAAAATATTCACAGGTTTTGGGAATCTGGTTCTTTGTCATATTTTCCCTGTATTGCTTTACGGTTGGGTCTGACATTGATGGTAATAGAAAGAACTAACCATTAGTTCTTGTTTTCAATTTTAATTTCAAGTTATGCATGTTTACATAGGTAGATATGTACATTTGTCTTAATAATTACTAAATAACTTGTAAATTTGTCAATTCTATAGAAGTCGCAGGTGGAAAAGTTACCGGCATGATTATTGCGTACTGGATCATAATTGGCGTCCTGGTATTCCTTAGTGTCTTGATAAATATCATATTGCTTAAAGGGGCATATCAGGTTAGGCTATTTTATGGATTAAACTTTTTTGAATTTAAAAAATTGAAATTTTACTAATTTTTAATCCTTATTCATCTGCATGTAACAGAAGTCACAAGAGAAAGTTAAAATTTTTCTCATGGGACTAATCGTTCTCGTCGTGGTTGGATTTATCGTGACCCTCGTGCGACACTTCAGTCTCACTGCGTTTCTGTTAGAGGTGAGCCGGGCCTGGACTTTTCAAAGCCCGGCCCGCCCAAGCCCGGTTGAAAAGCCCGTCTCAAAAGCCCAGGCCCGCCCAGGCCCGGAAAAATTGAGCCCAGGCCCGCCCAAGCCCATTGGGCTTTTTGTGAAAAAAGCCCGCCCAGGCCCAGGCCCACTGGGCTACCCACTGGGCTTTTTTTAAAGGCTAGGTTTAGATGAACGGTTACCAAAAATACCTAGCATTCAAGATAGTTATTGAAAGGCACCCTAAAATTTGGAAGCTTACATTACTTATTAAGATGAAGGTAAAATTAAACCACCTGAATTAAAACGTCCTGAAAGAGTTGCAACTTTTAATTGATTACAGTAAAATAGCTGTGTCAAGCTGTGTAGTATCTGGGACTAATTTCAAATTCCCTAAGTGTAAAATGTTTTGAATATGTATCAAGAAGTTTTTGCTGTGGTTTTAGCATAGGCAATAAGGATATGTAAATAAAAAAAGATATGTACATACGTATGTATGTATGTATATTTATATAATGTAAATTAAATTATGTAATGATCACAGAAAGAAACAAGTAACTCTGTTGTACAAGAAAATAACTGGTGAATTGAAAAAAACATCAAGAACTCAATATGTAGTTCTAGCGGTGTGCTACAATTTTGAATAGTGTCCCATTCACCCCCAAACAAATATGAGATGGGCTTGGGCTTTTCCTAAAAAGCCCAAGCCCGGCTGGGCAAAAGCCCGCCCAGGCCCGGCCCAACTAAATTTGGTTCCTCAAAAGGCCAGGCCCGCCCAAGCCCGGTTCGTGGCAGGCCCGCCCACCCAAAGCCCAATGGGCCTGGGTGGGCCCGGGCTAGCCCACTTAACGCCCAGGCCCGGCTCACTTCTAGTTTCTGTTCACGTTTTTGAGCGACCTGCCCCTCGCATATGAATGGTGGGTCGTCTACTCCTTTTTCAAAGAGATTCGAGCAAACGATGAGATTGCCAAGGCGGATCAAGCCGTCTGCGGAAGAGATTATCTGAGCCCGTACGTGATAACAAATTCTTTAAGTAAAAAGTTCATAATTTAATAATTTAAGTCATGTGACGAGACTCTTAGAAATCCAGTATTAAAATAATACCAAGCGGTATGTCCTTCCAAAGTAGTGTTAATTAGTAGTCGCATGTGGGAATAGCTCGGTATTATAGTTTCAGCCTATCGGTCGTAAATATTTAGGTACCGGTATAATTGTAATACCCAGTGGTAGCAAAGTTAACACCGAAAAATCAATGCAGATTTCTAACAGCGTACATACATATATGCATAATATTAGGATTAGCGGGGTACTCTGTAACGTTTGCGCAGTACATAAAATGTGTGCCCATGTTTGCAGTCACGTTTTTAATAATTTTTGAACTACAAATTTGAATTGTTTAGTTCAACGTATGTACTTGCATAATCTGTCAAAGGTCGGGCCACTGGTACTGTGGGTGATCAACTTGACATTCTGGAAACTTAAGAATTGGGCAGAAGAAAGAGATTCGACTAATCTGGCGAATATAAAGGTGGCCGTAAGTGAATGCATTATATATTATTTATAAATTGAATTATCTAATTTTATGTTATTCAATAATTTTTACAGTTACTACTTTGCACGCATTTAGCTTAAAGCCAATTTTAACACAGCTGGATACTTAGCGTATGTATGCATGTACAAACCTTTACATAATTAATATGTATGTATGCATGTATGTGTCGAAATGTACATACATACTGTCCTCGTACTCGGCTCTGTCACCTCTTTTGCATATTTTAACGCATTCGTGAGAGTCATAGAGTTTACTCAACATGGAAAGCCCGTATCGCCGAAAATGGGCTATTGAGATTTATGCAAATGAGGTGACACGCCTAAATGCGAGGATAGTATGTCAAAAATTTTATAAGTTTGCAAAATATAATTCACGAAAAATCGCGATTTCACTCTATTTAAGTCGACATTAAAAGAGAAGCCGTCTGATCAATACAGAACTCCTGTATCAACAAAGGGGTCAAACTTTCCACGAAATTATTGCCAAATTCAACTTTGAGAGGCATCAATGACTTCAATACTTTCCTGTCATGAGTCCTATCAAAATTTTGCTTTTTCAACCAATCTTTAGTCAACGTGTTCACCTTGGCGGCCGAGGTGAACGTAAGCATGGTAAATATCGAGCATGCGCAGTACATGTACAGCAGCACTGCCGCTTTTGACATATCTTGATTATCTGACCTAAAAAATTTGATGGACATGAAGCCAAACAAAATTTGCATGTTTGGAACGACGAGGGCAATTGTGAGAAAAACGCGGCGCCGCATGCACGAATTTATCCATTTTTCCAGCACAAGAAATTTCCTGAAAGTATAGAAACGCTGCATTGGTGACGTATAGATGACGCGATTTTGACCCAACGGCACACACGCGATCCACAAGAAGCAAAAGAACGTCAACATGTGAAGTACACCTATTCCAAAAATAAATATTTCTTCATTCAAAATTCATTCAATTTAAAAATTGAGAACAATTATGCATTTATCACATATTCATTAATTCAAAATTTTGAAATAAATAATTATTCACTTTGTCTTCATTTTATCTCAAACTATTAAATTGATTCTCAATATACTTACATAGTGGGCGACAAACTCATATGGTGAAAAATGAATATTGAATAAAATTATTCATCCATTCTTCATGAATAGGAAATGAATAGGTAATATTTATGCAATTCATTCAAAAGTTCATTCAAAAGTTGTGAAAAAAATATTCATCCATCAATCAATTGTATATGGCGTGAAGCATACCGTGATATGAACCGCTAACTATGGTATGAAAAGCAGAGATGCTTTCAACCAGGGAAAAGCCTAAGCGACGTGTTAAGTTTCCCTGGCAGAATGGGGAAGTGAGGAGGGGTGGCTTGCATGGGGCGAAGAGCGACAAGGCCCCCATGAAGAATGTCCACAGCCAGTAGGATACTTCTAGAAGGTTGAGAAAGACGCAGATGCATCTTAAGATCACATTCTGTGAGCGATTGTACTTGAAATCTAGGCATCAATACGTACATATAAAACCCATGTAATATGTTACGAAATAATGGGGGTATTCATTACGAGTTCACGTGTAAACTTCTCAAATCTGGCCAATCTAGTAAATCCACTAAAACACCAAGATACATACATATTTTGGTATTGTTTCCATTGATTTCTATAATTCCTCTTCCTAAGATACCCTATTACTGTATAAATTTACGAACAAAATCCCATGGTTATCCAACAAAAGTTTTCCGAAATCTAGCAAATTTCGAAAAAACAACGCAAGTTATGTTGATTTGCTCAATTTTGCGAGGTATGCTAGATATAAATACGAAGGTACTTTCATTATTTATAAAAATGAGAAGAAAAGATGTGCAAGTTCGCAAATGGATATTCAAGCCAAATTTTGCCTTGCTAACGTTGCTAACGATTTGAACTCGTAATTAATACCTTAAATGTTTTTCATTTCCAATCTACCTTTACAGAGATGCATGTAGTTGAGAATTTTAAATGGGTCTTGATCCACACTAAAGATTTCAAATCTTTGCACCCCTGCCGTGATGTAAATCGTCATAACGCCAAGCCCTTCTCCAACTTCGACCCAAGATTTTGATATTGTTACAATGGCGTAAATCTGGTACAATACTTGGAACACGTTAAATATTATGGAAGCTTTGACAAGAAGACTGTGACGACCGGGTCGTAAAATAAATCTATCCGTTTTCTCGGACCACGTTCCATAGTTACAATTTAGGAAGTCACCATATTTTAAGTGACGCTTGATAATTTGGAATAAGTTATCCATCGCGATATTTTAAAAATAGAGTAAATGAATATATTATTTTGGAAACGAAACTAATTTTTTTAAGAAGATTGCCAGAGTGCTTCTGAATGAATGATGGATATCATAAAGTACTAAATATCTCATAGCACTTTCATCAACATTCGCGTATACATACGTGTCAAGATAAATAGACACGTAAGATTCGATAAATAGTCCGGATAAATTATGTACAGTACGTCAGAATAATTTTGACATTGGCAAATGTTTAAATCTTGTTTGAACAAGGAGTTAAAATAAATAGATATGTTTTATAAGTACTCAAAGTCAATCGATGCGTATGTCAATTGTCGCAAATATGTAAATATGTATGTATCTATACTGATTAATTCTAACCCATGGTTCCAAACCATTTCTGCGCATAACCCGCGGTGTTGGAGAGCTTGTTTGTTTAAAATAATAAGCGTACATATACAAATACAGCTATATCTAGCCTAACTTAATTAACTTATGTTTGATAAGAAACGCTCATCTATACAAATAGATATATATGCCATATACGTGTGGATATGTTAAAGTTTTAACTTTATGAAATTTACTGTTGCATCAAAATTATGGGTATTGATAAGTGAAGTCGATTTTTGTTTAAGTAATATCATTTCTACGCAGGCTGCTCCAATTTTCATAATCCTTTAAAGCCAAAAAATTTATGTAGGCTTGAAAATGCATTTGCGAAGCCCACCACTCGTTTCACAATGTCAATCTTACATATGAGGAAACAAACAAAAACCTCGTAAATTTGTAGGCTCGATGATGACACGTTACCTATGTGCAGCCCGAAGTAAAATATTTTTTATGCATATGCAAATTTGTATATACGTAAATTTCACATAGAATTTCACATCTACTCAACGTGAAACCCGACGAATCAAATGATAGCAATTTATCCAACATCAAAGCTCAGCATAACAAGGGAAATTTTCATTTTGATATATTACTCCAGAATCTGATCAACAATGTATGTAATCGAGATACAAATAAGAAGGTAAATATAAAGGGAGTTTGATGTTGTTAAATAGATATGCATGTGTGTTTCGCAACACGTGTATTTACGTAATATCAGACCAATTCAGTGGGTCAAATCACTTAGCGTAGGCGTTTGTACATACATATGTTACGAGTAATGTCATAAACACACACAAGTGTCCCTAGCGTAAGTTATGTCATTCATGTATACACATAGACAAGAATTTAAGGAACGTTTATAAGACATGTATGTAACGCAAAATCCCAATTTTTTGAAACCCTGCAGGGCTTCAATTAAGTGTAAATTGGATGGCCTACTTTTGATTTACCATGTGCCGCACATAGAGGATTTATGACCCGTGGTTTATTTTGGGCAGTATCATGCATACACACATATTATGTACATATTCTAAAATTGTATTCACCAAAGTAAGCTATTAAGGGGAAAACAAATTTCGCAACAACCGTTTTAATTTTACTATAAATTCCATGCATGTACCTGGAAGATCCGCCATCATCCGTGTTAAACTAATAGTTCAACCTTTATCTCTTGCCGTCAAAACAGATAAACAACGTACTTCACAAATAACAACTTGACCTTTGATTTATTCTACAGACCTATTAAAATTTTGACTTTGTACGTACATATATATGTACACTATGCCAGACTGAAATTTCCTATTATTAAAATCGCCTAAAATTGTGATTTGGGGAAATATTTAGTATCTATTGCTACCTAGTTAAACGGTATGAATGGCTTTTCGTCAATCATGTTGAGTAATGGGATATATGCATGATTGTACAGGGACTGCGGGTCCTGTGGGGACTTTGGGTTCAATAATGTCCCACCAAAAATAATGGGGTTTTATATCCGTCCGTACTATGTCATTAATCTGTTTGTCCTCCATACATATCTTACAATGGCATTGTTCCCACAATTAGAGTGTATTCATTTCGAGGTCTCATCGCTAGCAACGTAAGCTGAAAAAAATTCGCAAGTTCGCAAAAAATTGGCTTGAAATTCATTTGCGAACTCTAGGGCTAGTACACACATACATATTTAACTTACAATTTTTTAAAACTTATTTTACAAACTCAAAATGATTACCCCCAATATCCCCAGGGTTACGCATCCCCTGAAAAATATGTGTGCATACGCTATTTCCCGGAATTGACAAGTACTTCCTTAATTGGTGGATGAATGCAAATCGATGCAATCAAATTGTTTTTGAGGCATCGCAACATCTGTACGACATACAAGAAAATACGATTTAGGGAAACGAACAATTTGGTGACATAACATGTATATTTTCGTAACCAAGTTGAAATGGATACGTAATACAATTAAACACATTGATCGACAAGAGCCTATATTATATGGAAGAAACACGCAGTAAAAATAGGTCACATTCGTTATTAGAAGTTTTGCAAAACCACATTTCTCGGATTGTAGAGACTTGTTTAAACTTCGTCGTCGCCTGACATACATAAACCCGGTAGAGCCACATACAATACACACTGGTATTTAGTTTGTAGTAATTTCATACCGGATTGGTAGTAGTTTGTTTCTGAGTGGTAAATTTTTCATTACCGAAACATTACTAAAGGGTACTACTTGTTATTAATTACCATGCCGGTGGATCCTAAAATATATGTGGTACTTCGGTCAGTAATGATTTAATACCAGTTTCCGAAGAGTGTACACATTCCAAATATGTGGTTAAGAGCTTATTCCTTAATTTCTGGGAATGATCCACCAAAACCCATTATTCGTCCCCATTTTGACCCCGGACTATTTCGACCGTCTTTGTTTTCCTACAAAGTGGTTAGAATTATTGCAAAAATTATTAAAATTTTGGAATCCACGCATCTCTCCCCGTTCTCGTGGGACGACAAGGAGAACACGTTGACAATCTCGGAGTCTAAAGTTACCCCGATTTACACGGCGATTTTTGTCTCACATTATTTTCCATATTTCTTGTACACCTTATACCAACTGTATCGAGCGTTTTATGATGAAACGGCACACTTTAAGGTGATGGACGTTTTCTGGATCGCGCTATTCACGATGGGACACTACTTCAGTTTTGAAGGAGTTTCGAATCTTCACTTAAAGAAAGATGAAATGGTCGCGCTTTTCCGGAAAATGAAAATGTTTGATAAATTTGTTAAAAGTAAGAGGCTAAACAGAATTTTATACGTGATTTAAATATAATGACGCAATTCACGCGGTCCTTCATAACATTGCAAACTTATAAACTTTTACAAAATTTTACAAATATTTCTTAGGAAAATTAGCATGCAAATTTTTGAAAACTTACCCAGATCAAGATTTTATTTTGTACAAATTTGTAGAAATATTTTACACAAAGCACGGATTTTGCAAATGACTGCGTGAATTGCCTCATTAATTTTTGCTCCAATTTTTACAGATTTCATAAATCTCCAAGGTCCGGAAAAGGATCGATTCTTCAGAAAGTGTGAATTCCTAGGAATTATAATATGCCGTGGAAACACAATCGGGGCACAAATCTTGATGCTATTAGCCGTCCTAATTTACGTTAATAAACCCCTGGCCCCGCAATACATCACGGGCATATTTCCCTGGAAAACCTCCATTTTTACGAAGATGATCGGATTGATGATAGACACTTATACGAAGAGCGTAAACATTGGACAAAACTTCTTTTATCAGGCGTGGTTTCTATTTTGTGTGAGCTATGTAACCATGTCAATCTCAGTTTTAAGGTAACAAATTAAAATCCAGGAAAAAATCAGTTATGAAAGTTATTTGAATACCAAAATGTTCGTTCAAAAAATCAAAAAAAGTCCTTAAAATTTTCTAAATTAAGTTTTGAAGCCGTGCAAACTCTGCCAGATATCCTCTTAGATTTTGGTGTCTCTCTCTCTCTTGATTTTGTTGAACGAACCGCAGTGAGATTTCCGAAAACATGCTTTCACCATAGAATATAAAGAATTTTCACACTATAAAAATGGAGAGTATGTGTAAAAATGCATAACAAAAATGGGAAAATGAGTACATATACTAATAGGGATTCGAGATATTGTTATAATTTCAGACTGTCAAAAAATGGCTGAAAAAAAGTATATTATTTTTGAGCCGTAGTTCTCAACTTTTTTCAAATTTTATAATTAAACAGACCATATGTTTACAATTTACATATTTTTTATCTCTATTTCTCTCAGGACCAATGCGACCCACATTTCCAAACGGATCGCCTTCTACAGATGCGTCTTCCTCCTAAACGAGCTACACAACGACTGCTACACACCCACCTTGTTGCCTGTACGATTCCTATTTTATGGTCAGTACACAATCGCTGCATTTGCCGTCTTGATGCGGTTACGGGACGCAATTTCCTTACAAGAAGGATGCGTTTTGGTCCAATTTGTCTTCTCCTTTACCTTATCTGCATTTCTTTATTTGCACATTTGCGGCCGGGTGGGGCACGATAGTAAAATGGTTGCGCAGGATTTGTGCCGAGATGCGTGGATGATGGGAAAGCCGGAAGGCAAAATTTGGAGGAAGGTGACAAAATCTTTGAAACCATTCGGCGTAAAAATCAACCCCATTAGAAGGATCGGATATCGAGGAATGAACGATTATTTCGAAAATTTGGCCAGCATGTTGACAACCGTGCTGGTAGCGTTGCCAATGTAAATGAAAAGGAAGCCGGAATTAACACGGACAATATGAACATGGACAAGAAATAAACGTGGACTCCAAGACGGGCATTACGATAGATTATATTTTTTGTATGCTGTCCCATTTGCTTTCCATATTCCACATTTTTGCTTCAAATTAACAAAAAAATATTTATGCATGTAATTGAAATATCGCGAAAACTATTCAGGCAACGTTTGCCCATGACATTTCAAGAGGTGCATTAAATAAATGGAAGAAATGGAAGATGAAAGTTGTAAATATTTTCGTACCACTTTCGTTTGCATACCGATAAAGGTTATTAGTTGCCTTTTAATGTGCAGCAAAACTTTGTTGGTACTTATGTACACGCACATAAAAAAAAACATTATTGTTCCATTGTTTCTTCATACATTCGTACAGTGCAACTATATTTTGTTGCGGGTAATCTCATTCGCATTTTTTGACACATGGGAGAGATACACGAAGTTTATACAACACGGATAGTCAAAAATGGGCATTTAAACGAATGAGTTGACCTGCCACAATGGTCTACACAGTTTTTTGCACATGCGTTTGTGTATTTAAAATTCAAAAAATTTCTCTCTGAGGCATGTGTACCAAGTTATCCTTACTTATATAAAACTCATGATATTCGGTAAGTTTCCAACCAAAATGTAGTGAAAGAATTTTAAACAAATTTTGGGATATGCGTCAGATAATGTATACATTTATATTAGTTTGTTCGTTACGTGCTTCTGAATAATTCAATATCATTATTCATGCAATTATGTAGATGCCATCTATAATGTACAAAATTGTGACAGTATTTTATATTAAGAAAATTGCGAACAATCATTAATTAACAATAAATTACACGTCTTTATTTCTTCTACAAATTTTCAATTTCACAAAACAGATCGTAGTTTCCTTAACCGCTGCTGTGCACGCTCTTTCCGGCCTTAGCTTTTTTCGCGCTCTTTCCCGCCTTAGCTTTGTGGACGGACTTTCCAGCCTTCGCCTTGTGTACGGACTTACCCGCTTTAGCCTTGTGGACAGATTTACCCGCCTTCGCCTTGTGGACGGACTTGCCAGCCTTGGCTTTGTGGACAGATTTACCCGCCTTGGCTTTGTGCACAGATTTACCCGCCTTCGCTTTGTGGACCGATTTACCCGCCTTTGCCTTGTGAACAGACTTGCCAGCCTTGGACTTGTGGGTAGCTCTCCTCCTTCGAGCACCGGCTGCCGCGGCATCGGCATCCTTCACGACTTCGGCAGCAGCTTCTGGGGCAGAATCGGCCAAGGCTTCCTTGACATCAGCTGGAGCAGAGTCAACAACCTCTTTGACGGCTTCCTTTGGTGCGTCGGACATAACGGCGGCAACGTCGTCGGGATGCGCTTCGGCAACAGCGTCAGCAACAGCTTGTGGTTCAGCTTCGGCGGCAATATCGGCAACGACTTGGGCGGGAGCCTCGGCGACAACGGCGGCGACGACCTGAGTAAATTGAGATTGATCACATAATTGAGAAACACCCTTTGTTAAATTATTTTGAATCTACCTCAGCATCAGCGGCGGCAATAATTTCGGACGCTGGGGCATCCGCAGACGTACCGCCGGATTCGGTAAGGGCCTCCTGCAGTGGGGGGGATGCTCCGGCGATGAGTTCTTCTTGAAGATGCTCCGGTGCGGAGGCAACGACCTCTTGCTGGTTTTCTGAAAGGTTTAAAAACCAATTAAATAATTTCCCCTAAACCCGTCGAAGTCAAGGGGCAAGTTGATCCTTCACTAACCAGCTGGCGCGGAAGCGATCACATCGGCCGCAGCGTCCTTTCCAGCCTCGGCTACGACGGCTTGGACGGCTTCGGCAGGTGCTTCAGCAACCACAGCGGCGACGACCTGAAAACCGAATAAATTCGTCGGTAAATTTCAAAAATTTCAAAAATTTCCTTAAATTTCCCAACCTCAGATGGAGCCTCGTTGACCAATTCCTTCACGAGATTATCGGGCGCATCAGAGATGGCGTCCGCAGCCGCAACGGCGGTCTCTTCATCGGCCAAGGTTGTCCGGCATGTCGCCAAAAGGGCGAGGATGGCGAAGTTGAAAAATTTCATGATTTATGGCGATGTCGAAATTGGACGTAGGTAGGTCGGTCGAGGGTCGGATAGGTAATGAGTCGCACTTTTTAAAACCGTGCCGTTGATGGGACTTGTTTTAATTTCCGTGTTTTGACTTCCGCGTGTCGTGAATGCTTAACAATGGATGGGGAAGAATTGGTAGGTTAATTGATGAATGGGAGAATAGAAGGGAAACTAGATATTTAAATTGAGTTCATGCTGGTCATTTTAAAAATGCGGGGTCAAATTAATGAATGGATAAGGCTGCCTATCCGGGTACGTGGTGGTGGTGCTCACTGTGTTGTGACACAGATTTATGTATGTAGTTGGCTAGGTAATTATTAATTTAAAGAGATTTGTGGGCGTGCATGGTGTAATCCATTATTTAAATAACTAAGTTTAGGTGTCAATTAAGTAACAAGTTTTCAACTGTTAAACTAATGATTAAATTATATGTACGTAAAGATCTTCAAGTAGAAATTTATAAGAAGACAAAATGCGAAATTGGATGTGTTGTCAGAAATTTATACTTTTTTTTATTTATGTACGTTTCTTCGTTTGAAAAAATAAAGATATAAATATGTATATTTAACTAATTAATTATTCTGTCAAAAGTAAACAGACAGCGGGGGACAGACGTCAACATATTTTTAATCATTTATCGGATGCGGAAATTTATTTTTAAATTCCGGAAAACGAATTTTTGAAGTAGGTCGTAGCCCAGTTAAAAAGTATACACCCCAGTATGCACATATAGTAAGATTTTGAAGGAGGAGATTTCAAGTTTAATACTCACCGACACCGCCTTTCTACTTATCAATTTAAATAATGCTTATAAATTTGTCGTCAAGAATGTTAAAATAAATTCCTAAGGCGGAGAAATGATTCAAAATGATTTGATTTTGAAGATTTTTGTGATTAGACATTGGGTCACATGTTAATAATATTTTGCGATTATTTTGCACATAATCTGCGTATGTATGTAAATATGCTAAAGACATATTCGAGTACGAAAGTACTAAGGATTTAGATATTTGTGTGAGTGAGAAATTCGAGTGAAAATTATCAGACATTTTGGGCATATTATTTACAAAGCATTTTAATGCCATCCAAAACCAGCGTTTTGTTTGTTTGACCTTACCTTAATTAAGCTAATACCTCGATTAGATCTTCAAAGCCTACTGATTAACAGATTTCACCTGTAATATTACAGGCGATTCATATTTCAATACGTCGGTACATTCCGTGAATTGTGTTCATGATATTCGATTCAGCGAATAAAATATATTCGTCTTTAAAAATTATGTACTCTCAATTACCTATATGTACCCTAAGCTTTCGAATTTTTAGAGAATATACATGGATGGTTGTATTACATATATACGCATATATGTGAAGGTCCTAATGATTTTCCAGAATATTACAGCAACCTACTTATCAACTTCAGCAACATCAAGAGAGGGTTCTTAATCACTTAATTAAGTTATTTTCGTGGAATTCAGGCTTAAAAGATCATTGTCGATTTTGATTAAGAGACGTGTATTTATTCGTGTGTATGTACATACATATCTTTAATCCTCAGTAACCTTAATTATATATGTGCATATCGAGCGCTTACCATACAAAGGTTTGCCGTTTCTCTGACAACACGACAACAAATACAAAACGTAGATATATACAAATATCTTGTTCTCTGGTTTACAGAAGTCTGCTCAAACTTTAAATTTTTACGGCCAGTATTTTTCATTGTATTTATAAAACACGATTAAAAGGTTTTACCACGTTTTTCTTAGTGAGGCAAATACCTGACAACGAAAAAAATTTGCTAAGTATGCATTTACCCCACCCAAAAAAAGTGACATAAGTCGATTTCTCGGCCATTTCTCAACGGATTTTTATGAAATTTGGCACAGATCATTGTTAGGTAATTTAGAAACGATGTGCTAGTCGACTTGGCGAATTTTTGATTTTTACCCAAGTTATGTGCCAAAATGCGCAAAAATTGTCCCCTGAAAACATATTTATTTTTATGATTCATAAGTGGTGTATCTCAGCATGCTCGCTTATTGCAAATATTTTAGTCAAAGTCATTCCGGACATTTTAAGCTCAAGATGACCTAAATCGGTTGAGAAATAACGGCGTTATTTAGGTTTGAAAATCAAAAATTTAATAAAAATATTCAGGGTGCCGATAATAACGGCGGTTGTGCAGTAAAAATAATGTCTTTGACAACCAATTACAAGTTTTAAATAAACAAGACCCCAAAAAATGGGAAATCTTACAAGGAAACATACCGAGGTGTCCAACGAGTTAAGGATCGACACCTATACCAAAATCACCACAATGCATGACTTATTAAACAAACTGAAGGAATTTCCGTGTAAAATTCACTTTTCGTCACGTTGTGACGATATTTGTGACGAGCGCTTGACCATCGGGTTGCCAGTGGGAGAGATCGGCCGCTGAACGATCAGGTCAAACATAAAGAAGCGTCGTCGTCTTCAGAGATTTCAAATTCTATCAAATTTTGAAAACCACTTGAAATTTTGAAAAAATTTCTTCAAAATTTCAAAAATTTCTTCAAAATTTCAAAAATTTCTTCAAAATTTCAAAATTTTCTCAAATTTTAAAATTTTCTCAAATTTTCAAAATTTTCTCAAAATTTCAAAATTTTCTCAAATTTTCAAAATTTTCTCAAAATTTTTTTCAAAATTTCAAGATGTTTTCAAAATTTGAAAGAATTCAAAATCTCTGAAGACGACGTGAAGACGACGACGCTTCTCTGTGGTCGACCTGATCGTTCAGCGGCCGACCTCTCCGGCTGGCAACCCGATGGCTCTGCGCTCGTCACAAATATCGTCACAACTTGACGAAAAGTGAATTTTACACGGAAATTCCTTCAGTTTGTTTAACAAGTCATGTATTGTGGTCATTTTGGTATAGGTGTCGACCCTTAACTCGTTGGACACCTCGGTATGTTCCCTTGTTAGTGAGTCAGCGCAATCACAGTTAATAAATAAAATTAGATTGAATAACTTTTGCATCACCGCTCTAGGGATAATTTTTACTGTGTCCACTGTAAATTTAGTTTTGCATACGCATCGACTCTTGCATTCATTAAATTAATTGAGATTACCAGATGACGTTTTTACTATTGAACGACAAGTTGGCTAAATTAATCGATATGAAATATAATTGTGAACTGCGAATTTTAAAGTTAGAAAGAGTTGAAAATCTACAATTTCGATATATAAATTTGGATATCCTATTAGTTCCTATTCTGATGAAATCTCCAGACCATATGAGGGGGGGGCAATTATTCTAAACGATTAATTCATGCTTCCAGGAAAAATGATACCGAGAGCGGTGATGAAAAAATTATTCAATCTAATTTTATTTATTAACTGTGATTGCGCTGACTCACTAAGATTTCCCATTTTTTGGGGTCTTGTTTATTCGTATTGGATAGGCTTTTCATTGCACAAATATTTAGATAAGCCAATAAAAGTTTTACTGTTAGATTTCCACAGTATTTTACCAAATACTAATCCATGCATCATGTTCTGTACGGAAATCCTCCCAATTCTAAAATATCACCTGCGCGCATGCAGCATTCACATGTGCCTCCCCTTCGATCTTGAGAAACGATCCAATCGATTAGTTAAAGTTGGATCGGTTCTAAAAGTCAGAATGTCTCAGTTTCTGTGCGTTCTTCCCACGTTCTACTGTTTCGCCATGTTTCTCCTCCTCGGATTCGGGGGCTTATCAATGACCGAAAAGTTTCAAGGATCAGTCTTCTTCATGCCTAATCTCTTGGCGTGCATTGTCCGTTGGAGCAACGTCACAGGCAATGACGCCATTCAGATCATCAACTCATTTCTGGCTTTTGAACATTCAACTGTAAAATGTAACGTTTGATTTAACCATGTATTCTAAAAACCATAACGATCACGGTAATAATTTCGTTTACAGCTGCTTCTGAAAATTCCGGCACTACTCCACTCGCCAAAGCTATGAAATACTTTATCGAATTGATTGAAATTTCCATCCCCATCGTATCTGTCCTGCAGATGGCGCTGTTTCTATTCGCCCCGTGCACGCCGCCCTTCATCGTATCAATGTCGGGGAAATGTAGAGGGGCTCGGACAGTTTTGGATTCATGTCGATGGTTTGGACACATCTTGGACACGTGGATCTTGTCACATGGAGTTTATTCGGCCGCTATCCCGATCCTCTTCGTCTTGTGTGTGGGAACCGTATGCTTTCTGACTTATTTGGACATCTTGAAAAGGTATGTCGAAATATTTTTTTATGTTAATATACTGCTGAAAAAATCTACATGTTCAATTCATCCCGGAAATTTTCTTTGTATAGAATTTTAAACAAATATTTATGTATAACAGTAACGTATAACCATCAATTACTCCTACTTATTTAAACTATTGGTAGTATTAATTTGTGAATTATCGACTCATAAATCCTAGAGTCATAGATCAATTAAGAAAATAGTGTTCACAATTTATTAATTGAGGTAGGCCTTGCGGTAACCTTGTAAAACCCGTAAACTGCATAACTTCACAAACTTTTACCAAATTTTAAAAATATTTCAAAGGAAAATTTGTTTACAAATTCATATCAACTTATGTAGGTCAATGGCGTGTATTTCATTTTGCATGTTAAAGCTTGTAAAATTGTTTTACAAAACTTCCGCATTTTACAAGTTATAAATAGCTGCGTGAATTTCGTCATTGTTTATTTTACCGTAATTGGAAGCCATACGATTAAAAACACGCATTTACATATGTATCTATGTATATACTTCCAGAAAAATCTTCCTGATCACGACTTCTCTCTATATGTCGAACTGCATCCGGCTCTACAGATCGATCCACTTACTTGAGAAATCATTTAACGCTTTCCTCATGCATCGTGTTGTCCCGCAGTTCATGATGTGCTGCATAGGGATGCAAATCATGGGTTTGTACGTCTGCATTATGCACCACGCCGATATTCCGATGCCGGGCCTCTTGGTGTTCTACCTCCTCGGTGTGGACGCAATGCTTTGCAGCATCCTCATCTTCACGATGGCGTCCTTCGTTCATGCTAAATCCACCGAGGTGTTGGAAATATTTGGAAAAATGCCGATAGGGATTACAGAAAATAGAAAATTGGTTAGACGGGAGCTGAAATCGCTATCAGTAATGAATGTAAAATTCGGGTCCAACTTTATTGATCGAGGAACACCGTTGAACATGCAGACATTCGCTTTGAATCAAACAGTGTCACTTTGTCTGATCAAATCGGGTCGGGGCATGCCTTAAGTAATTTAAGTCTGTTGAAATGAAACATATTCTACAATAGTAACGACCACGTATGTAGGTATATGAATTTAACGCTGCCGAATATGTACATATATTCGGAAGCATATTTACATATGCATGTATGTGTATGCATACGAACATATACATACAAATATATTTACATATAACTACATATGCAAATTCCGGTGATCGGAACTAAATACATAAACTTGAATTTTTCTTTCGGCTGGATATCTAGGTACCTCGTTCTTGCACAGAACAATTCTAATCTTACATACATAGGTTTAGCATCTCACTTTTCTAATTGTTATGTGAACGGAGACTAGAAATTTTGTAAGTTTGTATGTGTGTAAATACATCGTTATGCACATATTTAAATCCATGTAAAACATATGTATGTACCTAATAATAAAATATTTATCAATTGACTGTTTCAATAAACCCATTCAGGAAATACTGCCCTAGTTAAGATATTAAATCACCAATCAATAACAATAAGTATAGTAAAAATCTAATTCTTGTAAAATTAATCCGGGGGTACTCGCTTAATAATGTACATATTAAACAAAACGTTTGAATGTAAAAATACGTAAAAAAACAGGAATGCTCAGGTATTTAAATTATTGTAAAACTCATATAACTTGGTCAAATAAGTAAATGACAGGTTAGTAAAGTACACTTAAAATCATTCATTTGCAGTACTTATTCCAGTCAATAAGCATCGAAGACATACATACATATCTAGTAAGGTATTTGCTTTATCAATGTATGTACATAAATAAGACAACAACAATTATTCACAATTCCATAAAGATATGTAAATACATATGTGTGCCCTGTAAAGGGAGATTCCTAAATAAATTATGTAAACAGCTACCTGTCACTGTACACGTACGTACGTACATATTACGCATTCTGTACTTACATACTTATATATTATGTAGTCACAATATCCACTGATTAGGTCAACCAACACACATAAAATCAAATCAAATAACTAAAATTTTGTTAATAACATTTGCATTATTATATGAGAAAATTTAAGTCTATCTCACTTGGAGACTTTGAATAGCAGATTCGTTTTGTCCGGTGTGATGTAATAATATGCCCCACGCAAATAGCTGGGAGATTTGTTGATTTTTTGCTCGGATTACGGATTGTTCACCAAAATTGTTGCATTAGATTGGGGACTAGAATTAAACATGGATTCGGGGATTGGATAGGTTTCGGATTAGATTACTCTACAAAAATGATTTGGATTCGGGATTGATTTGAATGAATTGTTTTGAGGATTAGTGGATTATTTTCTCCAAACTTGGAGTAGGGATTAGGGATTGACTAATCCCTAATCCGGATGACCAATCCACCAATCCCTAATCTGGATTGTTCCCGCTCTGCCCACGCAACAATGCAAATAAGTTCAGATTTTTTCGCACACCATGATCACGGTATGGCTTCTGTATGCTTACATAATAAAATACAATGACGAAAACCTAATTGAAATATTTTTTACCAAATTTACAATTTTTATTGTTAATGTTCAGAATTAACTGGCTCTCAATAATCCAGTTTAGTCTTTACCATTTAGTAAACCAGAGCAAGTTATAAATTATGATTGACCAGACATACACAATGTATTTAAATGACAGATTTTACCAATTTAAGCAAGTCTTCCATTGTTAAAAAACGTTGTTGAGAGGATTACCACCGATGTTGTTGTTATTGTTACCTATACGGGTTGGACCCCCATTGTTTCTGGACTGTCTTGCTAAGCGGCCATTATTGTTGTTGTTGTTAAATGATCCACCGAATCCTCCATTGTTGTTATTGTTGTTAAATTGCCTTGCTAAGCGCCCATTGTTGTTGTTATTGTTGAAGGAACTGCCCCCACCTCCAGCATTGTTGTTATTGTTGTTAAAGGACGCATCGCCCCCACCACCATTGTTGTTATTATTGTTAAAAGAAAGTGATCCCTGTCCTCCAGCGTTATTGTTGTTATTGTTGAAACTAGCACCTCCCCTCATTTGACCGGCATTGTTATTGTTATTATTGAAAGCAGGGGCTCCATTACCTCCGCCAGCATTGTTGTTATTATTATTGAAAGAAGACCCTCCCCGTCCAGCAGCATTGTTGTTATTGTTGTTGAAAGCTGGCGCCCCACTGCCTCCTCCGGCATTATTGTTGTTATTGTTGAAGGAAGACGCTCCACGTCCGGCAGCATTGTTGTTATTATTGTTAAAAGATGGTGATCCACGACCTCCACCAGCATTGTTGTTGTTATTGTTGAAACTAGCCCCTCCCTTCATACGACCCGCATTGTTATTGTTATTATTAAACTGGCGTTTGAACAATAGGGGTGCAAACTCATCGTCTTCTTCGGCTTGACAAATGGCAACAAGACAAAGGACGGAGAGCTGAAATTTATGAAGCGTGGGTCAGTTACAACATTTCCCATTTGATTGAATAATACAGAAATTTTCAGGAATTTACCGTAACGAGTGAGATCTTCATGATTTTGAGCGTAAATTTCTTATGAGTTTTGGAATTTGAATGAATAGAAATGTCAAATTTTTCTAATTTTACCAGGATTATATATGCGATGTGAGGATACAATTTACATAAATTGAAGTGCCAGATATGTTAATTAATTTGCTGACCAAGCCCACGCCAGACGTCATTTCGTACTTATGCATTAATGACATTGATAAGAAAGACGTAATCAAATCCAAATCATTAATCGGAACGAGGTGCAATTAGACAACTTTCAAGCAAACAATTTCCTAGGCTCGTTAAGTTGACCATAATTAAATTCCAATTACCAAATTTCCTCACTCGTAATTGAAGGTGATCTCACTCATAAATTTTACCAGGTTAATGCTAATGAAGTTACGATGCTAATGACATAACCAATTTAAATCGGTATATAATCATCGCCCTTCCCCCAACTTTATGTTCGGCAAAGCAAAGCAATTTTTAAAAAAATGTCACCATTTTTGGTAAATCTTATTAATTTAATTTAATGCCGAATATGTTTTCTTATTAATTGACTATGTATAAATATCTTTTTTGTAAATATCTTTCGCAGATACTCGTCCTCCTTGCCGGGATCAGTCTGAGTTCCGCTATAACCAACAATAACAACAACTTTGGTCCTGGCAACCACATCAACAATAACAACAATTACGGCTATGATGCCGACTATGAGCCGTACTATGCGTACTACAATCCGTACGCGTACTATTATGCGAGATACCGTCATCGCCACCGCCACCCGCAAGACATCGTGAACAACAATGGTGGCTCGATGGACGGAGTGAGCAACAATTGCCCGTACGGCTCCATTGTGAATAACAATGGACCAGGGAATGTACAAGTCGTTTGTTTGCGTAAGCAAAATTTGAAAGTGTTTAATTTGATTGAAAGCATGATTTTGAAATTTTCTTAATTTCACATAGCTCCCGGGGTACCTTCAACAATTAACAACAATGGACGATAAGTTCTAGTGATTTTAGCCGCTGATTATACGGATGCATAAATAATTAAGATCATAAAAAATTGTATATTATGATTTAAAATGCAATTAAAATACTTTTTTGCTTGAACAAGGAAAATAATACTTCTATATGTTGCTATGTATGTACATATATATGGAGACGTGATAAAATACGTACATATACCCTCATGACAAAATTATTCGTGCAATTTTGCACCAACCATTCATTGTGAACTATAAATTGTCCTTGTGAACTAAAAATTTGCGAAATTGTGCATATATATCATTACATAAATGTAATTAAATAGTTTCTGCAATAGGCAGTGGTAAATTTGCATCCAGTTTTTTTTTCAAATTCAGCGAATTGACAAACATAAATCACAATATTTTCGTCATCCTGGTCTACGCACATGGGGACCTTCTTTTGAACCATTTTTACAAATTTTTCCAGAATTATTGTGCACAATTGCTGGAAACATTTGTGTTTTTAAGAAAATCATATTTTGCATTTCCAGATTAATCCAGATTTTAGTCCAATGGACATATTCATCAAACTATCAATGTCAGAAGGTCGCAAACAAGTAATTATGTATGCAGACAAGTCTTTAATGCTCCTGCTATTTAAAATCGACTATCCTCAATTATTGTTAATATAGTTTTAATTACTGCTCACCTTGACAACACAATTATTTCTTGGTCATCTTGTGATGCGACTTGACATTTAGTATAATACTCTGGGCAGAGATTGCATATTTCTTACTGACTTATGCACATATATAAATAAAATCGCAACAAGAATCTGAACAGTTTGTTTGCCACTTACATATAATTCAATATGAATTCTGTTACGGTAAGTTGTATTTTATAGTTTGCTTTAGAGATGAGCTGGATTGCAATTTTAAGAGATTTAATCCATGCAAATCCGAGCCAGCCAAAAATTTTCGGATTCCATTAGTCTAAATCTAGTCCACCCATAAATTTCAAGATCCGATCTATCAAAATCCAGTTGGCTCGGATGATAGATTACGGATTATTAAAAAACCGATATCCATCTCACCTTACATTTGACTCAATTTATGTATTAAAAATTTACATAATTCTCATTTTACACAGATCATAACGCTGCTCGCCCTGGTGGCTTTGGTTTCCTCGGCAACCATCACTAATAATAATTTTGCAGCGCCTGGTGATACCATAACGAACAATAATGACTCATCCGGTGACCGTTTTACAGACATAGTGCTAAAGGCTGCCATTGGGGAAGATCACGACCCTGAAATGACGAGATCTCGTAAATTTTCTAAAGCACAGTTGGCTAAACATCCAAAGGTTAAGTCGGAAAGTGACTGTCCTTACGGGACGCAGATCAACAACAATCAAGGCAAAAAGGAAATCTTTTGTTTACGTGAGTTTTCTTTAATTATTTTAAATTAAAATTATTGAACTATTTCAATTAATTAATTTGTTTTGTTTTACGTTACAGCGGAAGGGGTCCCATCTTCGATTAATAATAACAATTAAAAAACATATTTTAAACATAGATTTATTAATTTTTTAGTTAATAAACTATATATTTAATGAATGCATGAAATACTTGAAATTTCGAGTTTACAAAAAATTGCATTTCTCATTAAGCATAAATAACTTCTCAGACTATGTACATATATACCCATTGCTGTTGTATAATTAAAAACAGATCCAGGTTGTGTAAAACTGTACAACAAAAATTGTTCTTGATGTTGGTGTATTAATTTATGAACATCCGACGCCAAATGAAATTGATTTCCATATCGTGCATACATTCACTCTAAGCAAATGTGATTCAAATTTAATCAAGGTTGAGTAGCTAAAATTTGCGAAGACATAACTGGTTTTGTGAAGTTTATCTAACGTTTTAAAATTTTCACTCAACCCTGAGTAAATTTTACATTCGTCGGGTAAATTTTCAAATTTTTCTCGACTTTATTTAGAGTGTGCTTATATTCTACTTAGGCATCCTATTTAAGTAGCATTTCTAATATTACTGATATACATAGGAACTGTGAAGAAAACGTGCGATTCGATTTGAAGAGGGGCGGAGGGGGTCAAGATCATATCCTTCCCATGTCAATTCTAACATGGGGATATCGGTCACACCGGGGGGTTGGGGTCAAAATTTGCCGAAAATCACATTCTTTATGTATGTACGACCAATGATCCTATATTTATTAATACATGGTATTAATACATTATTAATACAACCAGCTATCTACATACGTTTATTAATTAATTTATTTTACTTTTGTTTTATATTAGAGCTTGGCATTGGTTACATTATGCCTAACAAATTATCAAATTCGAAATTATCCCCAGAAATTTTTTGCAATAATTCGTTTTCCAAATATTTGAATGAGTGAGGTGTACAGATATGTATGTACATACATATTTTTTAAACTGTTGACCTTAGTTTGGACGCTAAGACTTAACACAAATTAAAAGATATACGGTTAAAAATTTGGGCATGAGAGTTTATTTATCACGCTTGATAATCAATTAAAATACAATTTACATAGTTTGATCTACATTTAAATATATTTAAACACCACTAATTCCAATTTATGGATCATCAGGCTGACATTCCTTCCCACGATTTGCACGATTAGTTATTATTATTGAAGACGGACGGTACTCCCGGGGGCAGACAGATAACTTCCTTCGAGCCTTGATTATTGTTCGTGATGGTTCCAAAGGGACACTGTGTCTCCGTCAAAACGTGACTTCCGCCTCGCGAAGTAAACCTAAATTTGCCACTGGGAGTATTGTCGTTAATGATGACTTCATCACCAAATGCGACATTGTTATTCGTAATGGTTTGACCGGGAAGCCCGAAATTGTTGTTGGTAATGGTGGCTCCACTGGCCACGGAAATAAGGGCCAGAACAACCTGAAAAAAGTTATAATCAGTAACATGGTAAAAATTTCAATTTCTAAGTAACCAAATGTGAAATTACTTACAAAGTAGTAATTCATCATGAATATTTCAGATTGTCCAAGAAAGTGTGACTTGTCAGAGTGTAAATTTGTATTTCAGTTTTATTTCTGTCTGAATGGTGATTATTGGATGGACGATTTGAGTGAGTAAAGCTAATGATGCAAGAGCACATTAGCATTGGTACACTAATTACCGTCATTGATTTTCTATAAACACATTTGCAATTAGGATTAGGGGTCATTCAGTGAATGAAATGTTACGTAATCTACAATGACACTTAAGGTCAAATCGTCACCGGCGCGGCGGAGGTACTATAGTGCCCTATTTTTGGGTAATGATTAAGAGCAATGATTAGGAGTTTTGTCACCAAATGGGAAAATAGTCTAAAACACATGTATGAAAGAGATATGACGTGGTTGTCTAAAAAAATGAGCATTTTTATTAAGCATTTTATTAAGCATGAATTTAACATTTTACATGAATTTTGAATAATTGTATTTTTGAATACGTACATACATAATTGAATTTTTTAATGTACGGTGATTTGATAATGAGTATAATTTATTTTAACATGTTACACACAGATCGAAATTTTTTATATTTATGTATATTTACCTCACATGAGTATTAAATAATACAAATTTTAGCCATTATTTACCAGTTAGCATTTTTGATTTTCTATCTTTTAATTGTTGTTGTTATGAGGGCAGTTGGCCAAGCCTGCATGAAGAACATGAAAATTAATGATCAATCAAATGACATCGCGAAATTTATGATAAAGCATAACGTAAACAAGAGAAAGTGCAGTACCAAACCAAGATGCAAATGTTCCCAGGGCGCCACACCCTCCATTATTGTTGGTAATAGTAGCGCGTACATTTCTTGCACTAGATACAGCCTCTTCGGAGCCCCAAATGACAACAGCGCAGAAGGCGAGGAATACCTATGTACAAAGTTTCGTTTTCAAAATATGTATTTAGATTCAAAATTTCCATGATAAATTATTTAGTTAACTTACAAAGAAAAAAATTATTGTCTTCATTGTTATTGGTGTGATTGGGTTAACAGCAATACATAGATACGTGCGGACTCCAGCGAGTTAATGAGCTGACGAAGTAATAATTGATTGATGCTTATTTCGCAAAATTGTTAATGAGGTTAAGTAAGATATATGGCTGTTCTAAATAGTGTAGCAATTACATATGCATTTACTACGTACAATATGAGCATCTAATTTAACTCATTTACATATCTAATTCTAAAATTACGCTATCTCAAGCTACTGCTTACATATGCAAATTGTTAAAAAGCATGATATGTCAATGTTGCCCATATTTCCCGAATCTGGATACCAATGCCGATTATAAGCGTAAATGCAAATACTCATAAAACTAATGAGCTTTAGATGACCACTCGTCCCCAGTCACCTTGGCGCATAAACCAGTTCAGCCTAGCTTTTGCATAACCTTAACTTTATTGCCGTAATTAATATTTGATTCTAATTATACTTTCGATCCCAAGAAACCCTTCATTTTCAAGTAAACGTTAATAGTCGGAGATTAGTTAAATCACTAATTAATATTACTTCTCCAGTAATAACTCCTCATTAACTAAAGAGAGGAAAGTTTGGGTATAAAATGATGCACGGATTGGTAGCAAATTCATTCACTAATTTGTCTCTCAAATTCATCAAATTTTCCTCTATACCAGCGTGTCAAGCAAGATGAAGTCTATGCTTATCGTCACGGTAAGTGATAAGTAATCACGGCTTACATATAATATGAAAGTTGAATACTTCCAAAGCTAGGATATAGATTTTGTATTTCTAAAAATATTAAAATTCTAGGTTTTGGCCCTCTGCGTCCTGCACGTTTGCACCGCAACGGAAGTTGAGGTAGAGGTGGCAAAACGCCAGTTCAACAATAACAACAACAATGGTGGATTTGGCGGATCATTTAACAATAACAACAATAACGGTCGGGTAGCCAGACAGTTCAACAACAATAACAACAATGGTGGATTTGGGGGCACTTCCTTTAACAATAACAACAATAATGGACGCTTAGCAAGACAGTTTAACAACAATAACAACAATGGTGGATTCGGTGGATCATTTAA